CAGCACTGGCTGGGATACCACCACCACGCAGAAGATGAGAAGGATTAGAAAGATGTTCCAAAATGCCAGGATGCTCTGGTTCTTCTTGTCTGAATTCAATTCCATCCAGGAATATATATATATCAATTCTATGATAAGAACCCTCTCAATAGTATTAGTTCTGAATATACAATTTTGAATTAAGTCAGCCATGAATCGGAAGACCTCCCGAATAATTAGATAGCAAATCCCAATCATGGAGGAGACTCTGCAAAATGCGACTAAGAATTTTTGATCGCTCGTGTAAAATTTGAAAAATAGGTAAGTGATTAGGGGGCAACTAAATAGAAAGCAGAGCAGTAAGTCCAGGTAGAAGATCACGGAAATGTGGCGCCACTTCAACCACAGGAAACTCGAGACTAGCGGGTGCTGTAGCAGATGTTCCATTTCCTTTGTCTTGGCCATTAAAGCGAAGGGGGCCATCTCGTTCTGCAGCTGATTGGAAGAACCGAAAGTCCTGCCCACCTGAGTTCGTTTCGGTATCAGGTTTTTGTGGTCGATAATGATCTCGAAATCTTGATCTCTGGGGTCGTGTCCCTTCGTGGTGATGCAGGAATCAAAATGCTCCTTGAGCACCTCGGGCGAAATGTCCTTGATGGCCAGTATTCCAGAAGGGTTCTTAGAGCCTATGTAGGCGCCTTGCTCCAGGAGTTTCTTCATCGCCCACACATTACTGGATTTCGCCGCATAGGAAAGTGGCACCTCCGAATTTGCATCAGCCTCGTTAATGTCAAAGCGATTGGAGTTCAAGAGCAGCGTAAAGCAGCGCTGATAATTGAGGTGATTGAAAGAGCACGATATTAAATCGATAGCTGAATTCATACAGATGCATTGACAGTTAGGGGCTATGTGCAGATTTGGCTCATCCAGCAGTCGCTCGAGTGCCTCCCAATTGCCCTTTTCTAAGGCGTATTTGACAAGATCCGTTTCGTTACCCCTTTCGAGGCCAGAGGACAGGATTGCTTCCAATGCTTTCTGCCTGCCCATTTCTATACTCTTACTCAGGAGATCGTGTATATCCTTAATCGTCATGCCCCCGTAAATTTGCAGGTGCTTTGCAAACTGCTGCTTAAACAGGACCTCGTCTCCGCCAGTCAGAGTACGGAGGAGTTTATTCTCGGCGATCTCCAGCCTCTGGCGCACTTCCGGCAGTGTCAGCTCCGGAAACTGCGTCTGTAGTAGTCGGCGCACCTCCCCATTGCGACAGCTATCGATGTCCAGCTCTGGCTGACTTAGGAAGAGCTTCACCAGCTCCTCCTTCTGTGCCCTTGCCATCCTTTTTCTCAACACGTTTTGCAAAGGTGTAAATTCTCTTTCGTCGGGGATATTTGGCGAGGCTCCTTTGTCTAACAGCAGCTTCATGCAGGATAACACCGCCGAGGCGTTTTCCTCCGTGAGATTCTTAGCCAGTGAGTTAAGTGGAGTTAAGTCCTTGTGCATTTTGTTTAGTTTGATCTTTCTTTTCAGGAGCGCCTCTAGGTTTTCAGGATCCTGTGAGTCGGCGGCAAGGCGGGCTGCCTGCCAGGTCATTCTCACATCGATCTGTGGAAGTAGATGTGTCTAGCTGCGCATCGATCATAGTTCTTGTGTGCTCTACTCACAGGTTCGCCCTTGTTGCCGTGCTCCATGCAGGCCTCTATAAAGTCCCGACAGCCTGGTGTGTATAGGGCCATCTCGAAGATGCTCGTATAACCACCGGGCAAAGACGACCGCTCCTGCAAATTGGCATCTGCACCGCTATGTAGGGCGGCGACGAACAACCGAACGTCTTGGTTGAATAAAGCATCATTTAGCTGCGCTTGGGGATCGATGAAGCCGCAGTTTTCAACGTCCATTTTTGTGCTCTGTAAGAACCAAACTAATCATTTACTAAGTGTTTCTGTTTTGAATCGCGGAGACTTGTTTATTCTTTACGGGTGACACAGAAATTTCTTTGGTTAAAATTTAGTTGGTACATATGTATGATGTATGATGTATGTATGTGTCATCTCATAAAATCATAAAACTTTATTCATCAGCGATTAGCAAAATCTTTAGCATTAAATTCGTCAGTGCATCTTGCTCATTAGACCATTAATCACCAAGAATAACACACTAGACCTTAATTTCTCAAATAAAATTGTAACTTAACATAGCAAGCATGGACAAATCTTATAGAAATTTTTGTAACATTCAAGTTAATAAACAAGAAACCCATTGCTGAACACTACCAAAAAAAATCCCAAAAGCTGTACGAAATGGATTGCAATAAAAACTTGGTACTGTTTGATAAGGTGATTTTGGTAAAACATAAAAATAGTCTACATCCATTTTTATATAAAAATTTGCATACATATACGCAACCTGCATCTTATGGGAAAGTATGTGCTTGTCTAGCTTAAAAAATTTGTAGGTAATTATTAGATAACAAATTATTTGGCATTTTCTCTTGCTTACAAAAATTGCATTTATTGTATTACAAATTGAATATTGTTTCTAATTTCAAATTTAAAAACTGTAGAATTACATATAATATATCGAATCTGGGAACCATATGGAAAAAAATGTAACAACGTTTTCTATTTTTAAGCCACTCAAAACATTGCTTCGAAAGTAACAGTTCTCCAAAGCTCAACCTTTAAAATACAAAATAACGCCTCTGCTTTCGTTGGTACTGCTTTAAGCTTCTACAATTTTCACAGAGAAAAAAACAACAAATGCTTTTACCAGTTGAATGCTTTTTGACGAACACAATATAAGCTTTTGATATAAGTACTGCTTAACGATTTCACACACAATTCTCGATCTATGGTAGAGAAGTAATGTTTCGATAATATCCAGTCGACGACTAGTACGACTTGTTAGAGTAATCCTGTGCTGCCAGATGTTGAAACTGCTTTTCCCCTAAATAATCTCGACCAACCCCAATTTCCCCCTGAATTTAAACAGACGTTAAATTTCAAAGTTGGGATTTTCGATGGGTTTTATTTTTGGACAATCCAACCGACCTCGTAAATTTCATAAGGATCGGCCGTTTATATCCTATAGCTGCCATATATCTGAACGATCGGAAATGCCATAACTTTGGTGTTTGTAAAGTTAGAAAGTTGGGATTTTCTATGGGTTTTATTTTTGGACATCAATCCCACCTACTAAATTTCATAAGGATCGGCCGACTATATCCTATGCAATAGAAAGTAACTTTTGGAAAGTTTCAAGCAGATAGCTTTAAAACTGAGGGACTAGTTTGCGTAGAAACGGAAAGACGGACATGAGTAGATCGGCTCTCCTAGTGATGCTGATCAAGAATATGTATACTTTATAGGGTCGGAGATGTCTCCTTAACTGCGTTGCAAACTTTTAACTGAAATTATAATACCCTCTTCTTGAGAACATTTCCTCAAATTTTTATAGAGATTTGAGCAGAAGAACGAATGTTACATCGCTCCTAGCGCCTCGTCCCCGCCCAAAACCAAACCAGAAACTTAAAATTTCCCGAAATGGTGTTTTTGAAAAATGATTTTGCGGTGATATGGATTTGCGAAAAACTACTGAACCGATTTTCTTCAATTTTTTTTTAAATGTTCGTAGTGAATTTTGTGTGTACTTGAACGATCGATTTTTCATGCAAAAATTTGTATTTCGCCCAAATAGATACTTTTGTAAGAATTCTAGCGACCAAAAACTTAATTTTTTGCATAAAACGTTCCCGTATACACAAAAAAAAAACAAGAGAGAACGCTATAGTCGAGTGCCTCGACTATTAGATACCTGTTACTCAGCTAAACAATTTTAGATTTTGCATTAACATAATGTGAATTGGAGTGACCACAGGAAAAAAGGACAAAAAGTTCAAATTATCAATTTGAATTCGGCGATCTCTTAGCGCTGGCAGCTTTACAGCACGAGCATCAGCACCAGCGCCGCTTTAGCGCAGGCAGCTTTTGTCCTGCACCAGCATACACACATACGCCATTGTTTGACTCAGACCTCCAATTTGGATAACTTGATGTGATTGCATAGTACGGACAGACAGACGGAGAGACGGACAGACGGACATGGCTAGATCGACTCGGCTACTGATCCTGAACAAGAATATATATACTTCTACCAAAAAAAGGCGTTTAAAGGAAACAGCCACCCCTTAAAAACTATTAAATATTTGTTCACAAATTTTTGCATAAACATTGTCAACGAAGTAAACATTCAGAAAAAATAATCATTCATTTAATAAAAAATTGCTAAATACATAAAAAAAATCCAAACCTTCATTTTTTTCGACAAAAAAACGTATATAACCCCTTAAGGGGGTCTTAGTCTAGAAATTTGAGAAAATCAAAAAATTTTTTTTTCCATAATTCGATAGTTTTGATATTCAAAAATATCTCCCTAAAAGGATTTTTCAAAACTCAAATTATTAAGTTATAGCCGTTTTAGTGACGTGGCAACTAGACCGGTTGAGCGAACGACTGGAACAATAAATATTCTATCAGTTACGCTGCCCGTAACGTAAAACTTTAAACGCGTTTTTCTCGAAACTACTTTTTTCGATGCGGTCGCCACTATATCTCAAGTTCTAATTAGTCGATTTACTTGAAATTTGGCATGAATATTCTTTAAATATATCTCTATAGCCGGAAATAAGGGTATTGTTATAGAAAGAAGGAGAGAAAGTTATTCATACTAAGGGCTTCCAGCCATTTATTGTTCCAGTCGTTCGCCCAACCGGTCTAGTGGCCACGTCACTAAAACGGCTATAACTTTGAAAATAATTTGAGTTTTGAAAAATCCTTTTAGCGAAATATTTTTGAATATCAAAACTATCGAATTATGAAAAATTTCGATTTTCTCAAATTTCTAGACTAGAAGACCCCCTTTTAAGTAAAAGAAATTGGATCTTGTTACGAGTAATTTGATATTTCCTAGCTAAAAATACTATTTAATAGCTAAAAGTATTTAGCTGTTTTCCATCTGAATGTATTTTGTAATCGGGCAGCACTGCTTGGGAAGGCGATTGTCGCGGCAGCTCATTCAAATTTGTCAAGGCTGCAGGTAAAGTGGATTACAGGTAGAAAACGGCCGAAAATAATCATTTTGTCGTTATAATAGCATATGCCGGGAATCCCAAATAGAAGATTAGGATGCTATCCGAACCTACCCGTTTCAGAGTATAAAGAGCGGCGCCGTTGCAGACTGGAACTATTGGTCAGCCAGCACTTACAGCGAAATGGTGCATTTAGCGACTGAAAAGAAGACTGCGGAGGTGTCGGGGCCCAAAGCGCCCAGGCAGCTCCAACTGGGTGGCCACGTCGGATTCGACACACTGCCCGATCAACTGGTCAACAAGAGTGTGCAGAACGGCTTCAGCTTCAACATCCTGTGCATCGGGGAAACGGCCCTCGGGAAATCCACGCTCATGGACACCCTCTTCAACACCAGCTTTGGGGCCACGCCCAGTCCGCACAGCCTGCCCAATGTGAAACTTAGGGCCAACACCTATGAACTGCAGGAGAGCAATGTCCGTCTGAAGCTTACCGTCTGCGACACGATCGGATACGGCGACCAGGTTAACAAGGCGGACAGCTACAAGGCTCTGGTGGAGTACGTGGACAGCCAGTTCGAGGCTTATCTGCAGGAGGAGCTCAAGATCCAGCGCACGATGGCAAGTGCCCACGATGGACGCGTCCACGCCTGCCTGTACTTCATTTGTCCCACTGGCCATGGCCTGAAAGCCATGGATCTGGTGTGCATGAAGCAGCTGGACGCGCGGGTGAACATCATTCCCGTCATCGCCAAGGCGGACACCATCTCTAAATCGGAGCTGGCTGGGTTTAAAGATCGGATAATGGACGAACTGCGCCGGAACAAAGTGAGCATCTACCAGTTTCCCACGGACGACGAAACTGTGGCCGATACCAACGCCTCGATGAATGGCCATCTGCCCTTTGCCGTAGTGGGCAGCACGGAGTTCGTAAAGGTGGCCGGAAAGCAGGTGCGTGCCCGACAATATCCGTGGGGATCGGTGCACATCGAGAACGAGGCGCACTGCGACTTTGTCAAGCTGCGCGAGATGCTTATCCGCACGAACATGGAGGATCTTCGCGAGCTGACCCACTCCCGCCACTATGAGCTATTCCGCCAGCGGCGACTGCAGCAGATGGGCTTCGTGGACGTGGACAGCAACAACCAGCCGGTGTCCTTTCAGCAGACCTTTGAGTCCAAGCGCTCCGACCACCTGGCCTGCCTGCAGGCCAAGGAGGAGGAGGTGCGTCAGATGTTCGTGCAGCGGGTGAAGCAGAAAGAGAACGAGCTGAAGGACAGCGAGAAGGATCTGCACACAAAGTTCGAGCGGTTAAAGCGGGAGCACCTAGAGGAGAAGGCCCAACTGGAGGAGGCGCGTCGCCAGCTGGAGGAGGAGAGCCAAGAGCTGCAGAAACGCAGGCTGCAGCTGGCCAATGGTACGCACACACTCACCTTGGGCAGGGGCAAGAAAAAGTAGTTTGCTTACTAAAGTTTCCGACATTTTGAACGATTTCGATTTTAAAAATACCATCGATTCGATCGATTTTTATTCTTTTTTAGTTTCTTTTTACACACCAATTAAATTTGTTTAAAATCAAATCGAAGAAATAAATAATATGTTTCTTATTTATAAACATAGATTTAAAAACATGACGATTTTTTATATTTCCCTTAGATAAAAGTTTATATAATAAATTTGTAATCCAACTTATTTTATTATTTTTGGTTTTGGTTTTTCGAAAACCTTTTTTTAATCTGAAGGGAGGAGGGGTTTTATTGTTCTAAAATTTGGAAACCTCTTGTAATTAAGAATTATACATTAATCTGATATTTATTATACCCTTGCAGAGGGTATTATAATTTCAGTTAAAAGTTTGCAACGCAGTTAAGGAGACATTTCCGACCCTATAAAGTATACATATTCTTGATCAGCATCACAGGAGAGTCGATCTAGCTATGTCCGTCTGTTCGTCCTTCCGTTTTTCCGTTAACTAGTTCCTCAGTTTTAAAACCATCTGCTTGAAACTTTCCCAAAAGTTGTCTCTCTATTACAGGTAGTATATAAGTTATTATACCCGTTACTCGTAGAGTAAAAGGGTATATTGTATTCGTGCAAAAGTATGTAACAGCTAGAAGGAAGCGTTTCCGACCCTATAAAGTATATATATTCTTGATCAGGGTCACTAGCCGAGTCGATATAGCCATGTCCGTCTGTCCGTCTGTCCGTCTGTCCGTCTGTCTGTCTGTCTGTCCGTATGAACGCTGAGATCTCGGAAACTATAAAAGCTAGAAGATTGGCATTTTGCATGCAGATTCTAGGAGTTCCTACGCAGCGCAAGTTTGTTTCAAAATGGTGCCACGCCCCCTCTGACGCCCAAAATCGCTTATATACGATTTTAAAAATTTAAATATTTCGGAAAAGTAAAAATGCAGTTTTATTGTGTTTATCAATACCTATCGAAATGTAGAAGAAATTTTTCAAATCGGACCATTCGTTAAAAAGTTATGCGTGATCAAAGTTTCTATCTCCATCTCCCTCGCACTCCCTTTACCTGAGTAACGGGTATCTGATAGTCGGGGCACCCGACTATAGCGTTCTCTCTTGTTTTTCTTTGGGATTTGGTAATATTTAAATACTATGGAATGCAGCGTAAAATCGTTGTTTTTAGATATCGAAATGTAGTCGAATGTAGTCGTACCCTTGCAGAGGGTATTCTAATTTCAGTCAAAAGTTTGCAACGCAGTGAAGGAGACATTTCCGACCCTATAAAGTATATATATATTCTTGATCAGCAAAAAGTTGTCTTTCTATTGAAGGTAGTATATAAGTCGGAACGAGCCGGATCGGCCGACTATATCCCATAGCTGTCATATAACTGAACGATCGGAAAGGCCATAACTTTGGTATTTTTAAAGTTAGGAAGTTGGGATTTTCTGTGGGTTTTATTTTTGGCCAATCTTCAATCCGAACTTCCAAGTTTCATAAGGATCGGCCGACTATATCCTATAGCTGCCATATAACTGATTGATCGCAAGAATGCATCATATGAATAATTTTTGAGAATATAATTTACAGAATATTCTGCAAAGGTATATCAACTTCGGCTCCGCCCGAAGTTAGCTTTCCTTTCTTGTATTAAATTAATCTTGATCAAAAACATAAATAAATATAAGCTTTATTTATAAAATTGCGTTATATTTGCGAACCGTATTTAAATCAATTCTTTTAAAACCAGTTCTTAATATTACTTAGTAAAATACTCTCAATTTTGTTTGCGACGTATATTTATTAAACAAATTGCAATTTAATCGATTCTTTGAAAACCAGTCCTGATATATGTATGTAAGTAATCTACCTGACTAGAGTTACCTTGTAAAATATCGAAATAGGATATCTTTCGCGGAATTGTTTTATGACGGTCAAAAACCAAATGTGTTTGTGAAAAATGTCCGCTGGAATGGAAACCCAAGAGACCAGTTGCCGCCCTGGATTACTGGATTAGCCCGCACAGCTGTGATGGAACTTCTGGTTTTCCTCCCCTGACCGCCCACCGCCCCGGTCGTTACCATTCCGCTGATAGCGTTGCTACCTCTCTGCGGCTCTCTCCGATTCTCGCTCCCTCTCTCGCAAACAAAGTGGAAAATAGAAAAAATATTATAAATATGCTAACATCGCGATTCGGGGCGCAATGTTTAGTCATTCAGATTCTAGCAATGGCAGCGAGCGGTACTGGTACTAAGTTGGAAGGTGGCACATGCCCCGTGGCCAGGGGCTCCAGCTGCGGCGGCGGAGGAACACCTTCGGACCAGGCCCGCTACGACAACTATCGCATTTACAACGTGGAGTTCGAAAACGAGGAGCAGATCACACTGTTCCAGAAGCTGGAGGAGCAGAGCGACAGCCTCACCTTCATTGGCCATGCCCGCGAGATTGGTCAGAAGCTGTCCATCCTGGTGTCGGCGCATCGCGTGGCTGACATCGCCGATCTGCTCAAGACCTACAAGGTGAAGCATCGGATTCTGGTGAGTTGCTATAAATAAAACTCGGGTCAATCATTTACTGACAAAGAACACTCCCTTGTAGACCTACAATTTCCAGGAGAAGATCGACCGCAACCTGGGTGAGGTTCAGCCGGAGAGTATAGATGCCTCGCAGTTCGACTGGCAGCACTTCTTCCACCTGAAAACCATATACGAGTGGCTGGAGAAGATGGCCGATAAGTACCCTCAGCGCGTGACCGTCCTGGACATGGGCACCAGCACCCAGGGCAACGCCATCAAGGGCGTCAAGTTGACCAGCAATCCTAATAACAAGGCCATCTTTATTGAGAGTGGCATTCATGCCAGGGAGTGGATTGCCCCGGCAGCGGCCACGTATATCATCAACCAGCTGCTCACCTCCCAGGATCCAGGGGTGCAGAAACTGGCCCAGGATTACAACTGGATCGTGTTTCCCTGTGTGAATCCTGATGGCTACAAGTACACCTTCGAACACGACCGGATGTGGCGCAAGAATCGTCAGTTGTTTGGCACCTGCCGTGGCGTGGATCTGAATAGGAACTATCCGGATCACTGGAACTCCACGGGGTCTAGCAGTGATCCCACCCGATACGATTATGCCGGGCCCTCCGCTGGCAGCGAGCAGGAGACCCAGCGCTTGATTGAATTCATACGCTCAAACGTGGAGAAGGAGCAGATTAAGACCTATATTGCCCTGCACTCGTACTCCCAGATGCTGATGTTCCCGTATGGCTACACAAAGGATCGGGTGTCCAACTACGACGACCTGCAGGAGTTCGGCAAGAAGGCATCGGCGGCCATCAAGGCGGAGAGTGGTAGGGATTACGTGAGTGGCAGTCTTTATGAGACCATCTACCCGTCAAGCGGAGGTAGCATGGATTGGGCGCATTCCGAGGCGGGAATACCGATTGCGTACACCTTCGAGCTGCGCGGTCCCCCGATAGCCAGGACCTGTTCATCCTGCCCGCCGTGGAGATCCAGCCAACGGCCAGCGAGGCCTTCACCGCAATTCGCACCATCGTGGAGTCGGCAGCCGAGAAGGGCTACTACAAGTGAAGACCCGAGATTACCCGGAGCCAGCATTTTTTACGTTCAACGATCTAGACAAACTTTAAGTGCATTTTTTATCGGCGACACGATATTATCTTTGTCTGTATAAAAATAAACTGATATAAGAGCAACATTAGGTTTAACCACAAAGCACTTAACGATAAGAATGAGACGAGGCATGTCACTTCTGTGGGATTTATGGTCAGTTTAGGGTAATTGTACCCTATCAGAGTTAGGGTTTCACAGCCCTGGTGATGTGGTTTCTGGGCGAGAGGCGGGGATCAAATACGGCCTCTATATGGACTTGACAGTCTAAAATAAATTTGTTTTTAATACTTAATTTAGCACCAGTTCTAAAGAATATTAATACCATTTTCCGTGAGAAACAGGCATCGGTCATAGAGAATAATGCTCTCTACCAGCGGAGCCATCATTAGTCGGAGGGTATAAAAAGAAACTATTCGCTGCCAGTTTGCCAGGTCTGTTTCCGTCTGCTGGTTACTCAGAAGTCGACTGTCCAGAGCTTCAAAGCGAGTTCCCTGAACGGCTTTCTGGAAATATCTGCACAACATACTGGCTATTCAGTTCTTAGGACTATAAGCAACTTACTGGTGGAAAGTCATGCCGTGTGAGTACTTCACATTGCGCAGAGCACAGTGCCGAAGATCTGGAATCTGCTGGACAATGATGCGCTCAGCGGCGGCCCTTAATGAGTGTATCCGGAGGTATTCGTAGTCCCCAGCACGCAGGCGATCACGGTACACCTCCATGGCATGGCAGGAGACCTCGCGGGCCTCGTAGCTCAACTGGAACTCGGGCTTATCTTGAAGGAACCTGCTTAGCGGATAGCCATGCACTTTCTCCCGTGGATGCGTGACCTGGGTGGTCATCTTCTGGTAGCAACATCCCACAAAGTTTAGGAACCTGGCCTGCGGGCATCCGAGAAACATACGCATCAATGTAGGTCCCAGATTGCCACACGGATGCAGGCCGATGATTCCAAAGCGAAATTGGTCTGTTTTCAGCTCCAGGGCATTCCGGATGCTGGAGAGGAATAGCTCCGGCTGTGTGTCGCTCTCCAAACGCTGTGTGAGATGCACTGGTCGCCGGAAGTGTTTTATTTCATCTGATGGTAGGTGTTTCTCCGCCATGAACTCCAGTTTCAAATCGATTTCCGTTGCTTGCTGGTTGAGATCTGGCTGCATTTCAAAGCAGCAGACTCGCAGTCCATATCCATAGCCCAGAATGCGTGCTAGATGACCCACACCTGCTCCAAAATCCACAATAAAGTCAACAGGTGTCTCTCGATGACTTAAGGCACAAATCTCCGCCATCCTGGTAATTTCGTGCTGCTTCTTCGGTTTCACCCGCTTCAGAAACATGTGCTTCATTTTGGGATGTTCTAAGAGTATGCAGGGAAAGGAGTCCTTTATGGGGAAAATATATATATATAATTGATCCTGGATCATAAATTGAAAGGATTTTACCAACTTTGGGTTGGTTTTTGGGCGCACGGCTGATGCAGAGTTTTCTCAGCTCTTGTTGCAGGTCCATTAATTCCTCTGGCCATTTCACCTGGTGATCAAGACCCTCGTCCAGGAGCAGCTCTGCCAGATTCTCCAGGGAAATATTTTCCAAATCATTCTGCCAGTTCTTGGGAAGTTTACTCCAATGGTCGTCCAGGTAAAAGTCCTAAACAACACTCTTTAGCTCTAATCTTAAATATATGAGTATTAAGTATATATTTACCAGAATATAGGTATCCAACAACCATTTATATTTAGTTATATTTTTTAAGCTTTGTTCTAGTTTTTCTCTCACAACCTCCATTTGGTAAAAACGAATAATGTACAAACATCAAAACATTACATCACTAAGTACATCACTTTTAATTAGCGGAGCTTTTAACCATGGGTTGAGTCCGAAATGACTTTTCTAATCGACTAAAAATATCGATGCTTTCCAGGGGCCATAAAGTTTTCCTATTAGGCTGGTACCACACTGCGTCGTGTATTATCGGTGTTATCGGGTTAGGGGCAATACACCTAATGTAGTGGTGGCGAGTACTTTAAAATACTGGTATGATTACCAGAGCTTTATGTGAATTCCTAAACTACGGTAGATTCAAAATTTTTTGAAGATTAACGGAGATTTGACCATTCTCAGTTAATGGCAAATTTATGAAGAAACTATACAGACTGGTTCAAAATTGTGTTGTATAGCGCAACAACAGGATTGCTTTTTATACCCTTGCAGAGGGTATTATAATTTTGGTCAAAAGTGTGCAACGCAGTGAAGGAGACATCTCCGACCCTATAAAGTATATATATTCTTGATCAGGATCACCTCCTGAGTTGATATAGCCATGTCCGTCTTTCCGTCTGTCTGTCCGTCTGTCCGTCTGTCTGTTTCTACGCAAACTAGTCTCTCAGTTTTAAAGATATCGAATTGAAACTTTGCACACACCCTTCTTTCCTTTGCACGCAGTATATAAGTCGGAACGGCCGGGATCGGCGGACTATATCCTATAGCTGCCATATTACTGATTGATCGGAATCAATCAATCCGACCTACCAAATTTCATAAGGATCGGCCGACTATATCCTATAGCTGCCATATAACTGAACGATTGGAAATGCCATAACTTTGGTGTTTTTAAAGTTAGGAAGTTGGAATTTTTATGAGTATTAAGAATGCATCATATGAATAATTTTGGAGAATATAATTTACAGAGTATTCTGCAAGGGTATATCAACTTCGGCTCCGCCCGAAGTTAGCTTTCCTTTCTTGTTAAGAATTCGCCTAAATCTGCTGTGAAATGAGTCTTATTTTCTTGTTTTGACTTCTGAAATCTTCTGTCTTTTTACCGGGAAGAAAAGGCATCATATCCATAGGACTCTGAGGAGTGGACTTAATTTTTAGTTCGGGTATTTTAATATATGATGTTTAATTTTCCGAGACTCAAGGTATAAAGAATCAAAACAAAGTTAAAACTACTCTGTTTCGGAGTTTAAGCGTATATGTTAGAAAACAACAATTGTTTTTATTTGTTTTTCCGACTGATCCAATGGGAGCTACAAGAGTTATTTATTACATGCAATAGAACAAAGACCTTTGGGAAAATTATAGGATTTAGCTCAAAAACTTAGACAATAGTTTGATTTGAAACGGACAAATGGACGGGCTGATAGACGGACTCACCTGGTGATGCTGATCAATCATATATATATGTATATGGCTTGCGTTGCAAACTTTGAACTGAAAATATAATATTAAGGATATATAAAAACAAAACTTACTTCGGTAGGCCAACGTTTTAATACCCTTGCAGTCATATCGATAATAAATATACGGAAAATGGAAAACAAAAAACATTATATTAGACAAAAACAGCTATGGAATATGTCCGATTACCGACGACTTCAAACTTGATCCCCGTACACATAAAAAACAATGATTGCAAAAATTTTAAGTCTTATAATTTTAAACTACGTTTAGAAACGGTTTCAAACTTCTGACTTAAATTCTGGTCTAGAATTAAGGTAAAATGTTCTTTTATTTAAGATAATTTTGTACCCGCATATATCCTGATCTATGTATTTTTCTCACTGATAAGCAATTTCTGGTATTTGTATTTCCTGTCCTGCGATATATTTATAATAAGCATTCAAAAAACCAATTGCGGCAGATCTTTTAATTTCTAACCAAATTTAGTTAGAGGAGTGCACATGCACTTTTATTGGCAAAACTCCTTGAAATGTATGGGTAATAATGTGGCGTTTGCCAAAAATATTTATTTATATATATTTAGTGAGAAAAGGTCATATTCATTTGAAAGAAATGTAATTATTTAAAATGGCATCTGGTAAAGGTCGTTTTCGTTATGTATAAAATGAATGGTGTATTTTGTAGTAGTGGAAAGATTACATTCGATATGTTGCAGTGGAGTCCGGCTATAAGAAACAATCGATGTTTTCAAAAAACTTCAACATCGATGTAGTCGTCGTTTTTCCAGCTCTAGCCACTTCGACTTTTTTGCCACGGATTGTGTATGTAGTTTTAATTGTGCTCGAAAAAACAGAGTTAAAGTGGATGTTAGCATTGAGGATCTGCTTCCAAAAGTACTATATATATTGGTCCACGGTGAAGCGCGGCTAAAAACGATGCCAATGCAATAGTTCCATTTACTAAAACGGGTACGAACTCCGATTGAAATTCGAGTTTTTGTAGTGCGTAGCACAACATTTCAAAGAATTTTTGCGGGGGGAAACCAGCAAATAGACGCTATATATGCATAAGATATATGGATGGTGAATTAACGATCTTTCGGTGTTTTTTTTTTGTGTGTTATACTTTCGTAGCAAATCGAAGCGTCTTCGAACTAATTCTGTCCATTAAGCACCAAAACGCCACTGGGAGGAAATGGTGTCCACCCGCCAAATGTGCAGTGGAGGCGGATCCACCGCATCGGAGGGGGTTTCCCCCATTGCGGTGGGTTTAGGATCTGGAGGTGGATCCGGAGTGCAGGAGCCGCCCGAGTCCACCGCAGCGCGAACCTCCGTCCTGCGGCGAACCACCAACTATCAGGGTCACCAGACCCAGGGTCAGGCATCTGGTCAAGTCACCTCTCCGGCCAGCCTGGCCTTCTCCGCCAGCGTGGTGACCCGCCACCACTCGTACACCATCCAAATGCAACGGCAGAGATCATCCAGCAACTCGCCCAGTTTTATGGATCTGCCCAACGAGCTGATTGAGAAGACTCTCAGCTACTTGGACTTTAAGAAAATTTCAAATCTCAGATTGGTAAGTGCCCTGCCCCCTGTTTTTGTTCCTCTCTAGTTGCACCCAAAAACGTTGGCTATTAAATCAATAAAAGGCAATTTCCCAAGTGCAAGCGTGGTTCGTTGGCTGGGTTGGGTTATCCAACCGACAACTACCTGCACTTGTATGCCTGTTCTGATATTCTGCTGTTATGTGTATTATTTTCGCCATGCGTTGTGCTTCACCCGACGGATTTCGGATTTCCCTTGGCAGGAGGCAATTAAAACTTTGTCACGAGGGCACATGCACTTGCAATTGTTTATATTTAGCAGCCTATGAGGCATTATGACTTCAGTTGGGGGCAAACTGAGCAAAAAGTAAGTCTTTAGCAGTTCTATTTTAGGGATTCTTTATTTATGCAGCTATTTTCTTACTTTCGAGCAAATGTGGCTAAAGGAGCACAAAAATGGAAAAGATTTAATAATTTGGGAAACAATTTAGTCACGGCTAACACATACATACAACGCAGAAAATAGAATCATATAATAAGCATTTAATACTTTTTTTTGTAAGATATTATTATTTAAAAAAAAATATTTTAATTATGCAATCTAAAACATGTTTCCCTTATTATTTGTAGTAAGAACGTGGAATAAAAAAGTTATCTAAATAAGTCTTAAAAGTAAAGTAAGTAAATTTGTTAATTCTGAAAGTACTAAAGTATTATTAATTTTATATTTGCTAAAAACTTAAAGGGATAGAATTAGGCTTAATCTATTATGATTCAACATTTATTAATTTAAAATAATTTTTCGAAGTTTTTTAATATACATTTCATAAAGAGTAAAATGAAGTATTTGTTTCCTAAACTTGACAGATCACTATCTTTAAAGGGTAATATAATTACATTGAGTGAGCGAATTAAATCGGCTAAAAAGTCACAGTTAGCGTAAAAATTCCTAAGCAAAAAATATTTTCATGCATATGTCTCAAAGAACGGCTTTAGTTCGAGGCCCTGAGGGTAACTACTCTTCGGCTTTTGGTCTCGTTGGCATTTTTGCCTGCACCCGCGTCTCCCTTCCACAATTCGGTGTGTATGTATGCATGGTTATTTGTCGTAGGTAGCGGCGACAAATGTAATCTGATATAATTTAATAACAGGCAGAACCACTAGCTCGTGGATGGATGCGGGCACAGCAGCCGAAATCTGAATCTTAGTTTAGCCCAAAACATTTTTATCTCTATACCCCCTGTTAACTTGAACTCCGGATGTGCTTATTCGCAGGTGTCGCACCACATGAACGACATTTGCATGGCCATGCTGAACTCAGCCTTCTCCAAGCAGATCAAGACCACGTTCAGCCGCTTCCAGTCGATCAAGGCCAGCATGCCGCGTCGGGAGTCCGCCCGCCGGAGTCATCCGCTGGCCTGCGAGTGCGACATCATCGAGACGTGCTACATGCGCCTCTCCCTGCTCCAGATGTCCATGGGCAAGCACATCGAGCGGGGCCACTGCTGCTTCTTTCCGGGCGCAGTAAGTCCTGTTGACAAACCTCCCTAGCTCCGCAAAGGCTATTTAGGATGGTCTCTATTCGCAGATATTGGACGAGGTGCAGGCGATTCTCAACTATATCAGTATTACGCCCAGGCTGCAGCGACCTTATCGGGTGACCGACGAGCTCTTTGATCTCTCCACCATGGCCATGGAGTACTTCAAGGACCGCATCGAACCCACGCTACCGGGGCTGGCATACTTCAACAAGGACTTCTTCACCCTGCCCACCACCACAAAGCGACGTAGGTCTCCAAATTTCTCCTGCTGGCCATTAAACAAATTTTTAATTCCATCTATTAGCCACTCTTGCCACAAGCTCTGACCTCGAGGACAGTGCCAGCAACTCGCCGCCGCAGAACCACATGGTGCTCCGCAAGGGCATCCGGAAGATCAAGCAGGGCATGAAGATGTACAACAACCAGCTATCGGTGCTGCGCACCGAGCTTCGCACCTGCAAGCGCAAGGCCGCCGAGCAGAGCAAGCAGCTGGCGGAGCAATCGAATCTGTTAGCGGAGCAGCAGAAGCAGACACTGGAGTATGCCAACCGCCTGGACGAGAACGACAAGAAGAACGAGGAGATGAGTCGCAAGTTCTCCACCCTGTTGCAGGTGAGTGAGGGTTGGATTAAGTCTGGATCATTCATTTAATTCCTCTCTATTGCAGGAGCTTAACAAGTGCAAGACGGAGTTGCAGTTCTGGCGCTCCAAGAGTCCGGCCATTCCTGCTGTGTGCAGTTCGTGCAATCAGAAGGTGGCGCCCGTGGTGCCGCCCGAGGATTTTCAAGTGCTTGTCAACCAGGGTGTTGACCCCGAACACTTTATCATCATCAATGACGATGCAGATGCCGAGAGCGATATGAGCGTGGGCGAGCTGAAGGAGTTTGCCTCGCCAGACGAGTCCACCACGGCCAAACTGCTGGCCGTGAGTACCGCGGCCAAAAACCTGAAGCGAAAGCTGCCTTTGGAGGCGCAGTCCAATGCCATAGCGTCCACGTCGAAGGCAGCGGAGGTGGCCCAGTCCCAGTTGTTGCCGGTGGCCGCGGGAGGAGCTGTTAAAGCTGTGGGCGGCTACTCGCCCAAACTCTTCTACGGCAACCATCAGCGCAGCGGCGTGATTGTCAGTCCAGTGTCCAAGAATCTGGCGGGGGCTCCTTCAACGGACAATGGGGCGGCCGGGTCGGAGGCTCCTGAGGAGCCGGAGGAGGCGAAGAAAGCACGAAGAGTACAAAAGGCCAACAGATATGTAAATACGCCCGGCAAACGCAGTAAATAAGCATTAGGACTTACGCATATACACTTTACATATTTTTTACCACTTATTTACATATAAATCGTGCATGCCTTCGTTCACCTGACCCCAGGATGTGGGCCAGGGATCGGGGCATGCGCCGTAGTGTTAACGGAGGAATCAAATTAAATATATACACATATATCTATTAATGTCAAATGCATTAGGCATTTCGAATATTAATCATTATTATTATTATTATCAAGTACAACAAACTTGTCTGTATGTTCTTTGGTTTTAACGCCCCGGAAAAACAATTCAAGTTAACCACCAAACTACACGAACACACACACAAATCCCGTAGTTATTGGCAGAGAAATCAGATAATAATAATTTAAAAGCAAATTAATTTTAACTAAGAAAAACAAAACACAAAAACAACGGCAAAGAAATATTTTAAATAAAACTTTAAAAGCATTCAAGATTCGTAAACTCAAATGGGCAAGGGCTTTAAACTAATAATATTCACTACATGATCTCTTCATATAACTTTAAAGACTTCTAAGGATTTCATATCCTCGCTTAGATTTGCCTAGCTTGTTCTGTTGCTAGTGAAATAGTAATAGCATTTCCGACCCTATTAAAGTATGTAAATTCTTATTAACTTGGTTGTAAAGTTATTAAAAACAAGCAATTATTTATGTGTAAGCAAAAAAATTTGAAGTCTCGCCTATCGAAGGATTTTATTGAACATACATATCCTTTATTTTCCTATGAAAACATGTTCATATATATTTTTTTTTAAATGCGTAATGGAAATAATTGTACAATTTCAATGGTTTATAACCAATTGTAAGTAGGTAGAACAAATACGTTTATTTACAAGGTCGACAAAGAAAACAAAGTTAGAGCTTTTGAGAGCGCTCCTTGCCAGCCAGTGGCTTATTACGCTCATCCCAAAGGGTAACACCATCGCAAGCACAGATTCTCTTAAAGTTTTCTAGGATACCAGCCGATCGGGCAATAATGCCACACGCAATCCTGCGGAAAACAAGGTTTGACGTTGAATAATAATCTAAAGAGGGTGGTAATCATGTACTTACCTTTCACCCGAGTTGCCGTCGACCAGACTTCGTTCGTTACCACCACGTCCCAGGTCATCGGGACCGGCTGTTAGGACGACAGCCCTTCCGATGATGTCCCACACCTCCAGCACTGGATCTACAAATCTGAATGTGGCCCTGCCACTCTCATCGGCGCGAATGTTGCCCAAATCCCCGGCATGCCGCTCCGTGGCCGCAGATGTGGGGCTGCCATGGGGTGACTGGCGTGGATTGTAGTGTTCTCCGACGGAGGAGCAGCCGGAGGAGGTATCGCCGCTCTCGTGGATGTGGAATCCGTGAAGGCCAGGCGTCAACCCGTCCACCACGCCATCTACCACCACTCCGGGCTCCTTGGTCGTGATGGTGGTGAACCGGACGACTCCCTGGATGGGCGTTCTGTCCACCACACTGCCAGTAGTGTTGATAAGCGCCACAGCCGACTGGCCGCCGAATCCAGAGAGCACGGCCTTGCGCCCGGTGGCTTCGATTTTGTCGTGAATCTCCGACCAAGGTCGCTGGGTCTGGACAATCACTCGCCCCTCCTGGGTGTCAATCTCCACCTGGCCCACGCCATCCAGCGCCGATCGAAGTGTTACGGCGTACGCCTCGTCGTCCTTGCGCATCTGGACTGCAAATTCGATCTAAACTTTAACATGGGAGCATTTTTCTCATCCGGAAGATATACACATACCTTGATGGAGCTCATTTTGATGGTCAAAGTGCCGAATAACAATGATAAACAAACTTTGGCCCTTTCGACTAGGTTTTGAGCTTTACCAGTGTGAACGTATTACAAAAATTAAATCTAGAATAATTATAAAAAATAGTTGGGGGATTCCCTACTTTTTTGGCTCAAAAAGATCAGCTCAGAAGGTAATAATTTTTAACATGAAAGCTGGTAAAAAGTTACATTTTTTTTGTATGCCTTAAAATAATAAATCTTCTTTCTGGTGTAACTTTTTAAGACAAGCAATTTTATATTCGTCGTTTTAAATTTGATATTTGAAGAAAACGCATCAAGAAGTTTTTTTATTAGTATTATTCCTATAGAATTTGTTCAAATAGATATTTTTAGCAAAAAAAACTATTTTAGTCCTTATGTTTCATTTGAAAGCTTTGGGCTTTTGATAACTGAAAGAATTTAAATTTATTAGAACACCACGGAAAATAATAATTTTTGTAAACTTAAAAATTAAATAACAATCTCATTTTTATTTAACGTCATAATTTATTCGTTTTTTATCAAGTCCGGCGTTGCCAAGCTTTTTCCTTTTTGAGCGTCTCTGATGCTAATTATTTTAAATTAAAGGCTAATTTTCATTCACTTCTTAATAAGCATTCTAATTTTTGAACTTTTCTTTATGGCCGCCGACGGTTTTAATCAATGGCCATAAAGATATTTATTTATTTTAATGCCAAATGGTGCTAATTTGTTCAAATCAACAGCGCTAATGAAAGTCCCCCAAAAGTCGTAAGCTACAGATGCTCCTTTAGTTGTGGTTCCGAAAAAACGTGCAACCAATTCCGATAAAGCGTTTCCATGCGCGCCAATTTATTGCAGCAAATTGCGTCTTTGACTTTCATTGTGCAAAATAAATTAATTTCACTTGGGACCCCGTTATTGATGACAATTTAAAAACAATTGAGAAATATTTAATATTGCCTTCAATTGAAGAACTGTAAAAGGAAGCACTACAACAGGGAACAATAATAAAGCCGAGTCCAGTCAATTTCCAAATATTCGGCAACCCGGCACATGGCTTTGGTCAATTAAGGTCTCAATTAGCACGGCGTTTGGGGATTGGGATGAATGAAATCGGTGGACAACAATTAGTAAACATTAGCGTTCCGTTACTAAGTCTAAAGTTTTTAAAATTAATTTAAATTTAAAAATTAATGCATTAGATGTCAATCACAAAGAAGAAATGTATATGTAGATACATACATACATACATATGTGTAAATGGGTGGTAAGGTTTAATTCTTCAAGAATATACAAGTAAGTAGCGCACGACAATTTTAGAATGTACAGAGTTTTGATCAAACCCCTAAAGAAATGGGAATTCAATAAGTCAAAGACTCAGAGTAAGGATGGCCTTGCTATGCTAAGTGGTAAAGGTCTTAAAGTTTTTTGTTAAATTTCCTATTTATCTGAACACCATTTATTTATTTTGGACTCTCCGAATTTGTGCAAGCAATGAGCTATTTTGTTTGCTTCGAGTTAATTAAAGCTTATAAAATCATTTATTTATTTATCTGCATTTATAATAGCTTTAGAAACATTATTAAACAAATAATGACCACCTTCCTCTTATCTATGTATGCTATGTAATGTAAAGTAAAGTTCGTTCAACTTTACAGTATACAAACAAATTTATAATAGTATTCAAATTACCTTTATAAATCGGATTAAATATAAAAAAGATAAGTTTTACATTACTTACATAAAAATATACTTTAAACGCAATATAATTTTTACCTTTTACCTTTCTTTCAGCACAGAGTTGTTTTTTAATCCGTGCACCAACTGGTTCACTCTAGCGATAGATCGACGCCATATGTGAGCCTCCTCTCAAGAGCATTTGGCGCCCACACAAAAATACCGAGCAGGTGCGCTCTGCAATAAGTCTCTTTGGTTTTAGTAGCTGCTCTTTAGGGCAGCGACTAACGGCAACAGCTGTTCTTGTTGATAAATAACGCTATGATACTTTGTTGCGTTCCTTTGCTGACAAATGCAAGTCAGCCCCAAAAAAAAATGAACTCTTTCTGGAAGCGAATCTATTGGAAGCTGGAAAGGGCTAGATGAGGTCGCTTGGAAAGTGCGTGCATTGGCAAATTAGCCTTGCCTTTGTTTTTATTGCATTCCACAAAAACACACACTTACATTGGGGGACAGCCCATGGACATAAGTATGTGTGCCAAAGAGCGGACCTGGTTGCTCTTTTGGAGCCGTGCGAGCGGGAGCGAGAAAGAGAGAGCGGGAGAGAAGAGAGAGATATATAAAGGCTAGTGTTTTTGTGTTAATATTAGCGTTGTGACGTGCGCTCACCAAATCAGTATTTTTCGTACCATCGGTTAAAACACATGTTCAGCGATTTTATGCGCGAGTGAAACTAATCTGGAAGAGCCCCAACAACTACAGTGACAACAACAACAACAGCAGCATCATCAGCAAAAAGCAAAAGCAGCAGAAAATTTTAACACGTTGACGGTTTTTTAGTGTTTATCGCGAGCGGAAAAGCTTAATTAGCGAGTATTTTTTCTTAGTCTTGCGTCTTTGAGTGTGCGTGCCAAAATTTAAATACGTCATCGACGCGCGCATCGTAAAAACGAACCCAAAAAAATATTGATACATACAATCGAAAGATTGAATTCAAATTCAGTTGCGGGAGATACAAAAACCAATTGAGGAAAAATTCCACAACACACCAACAACTTGAATTAATTAACTTATTGTTATTGTGGTATTCTTCTTGGCTTTGCTTTGCCATTCGCAGCGAATCGCCGTCATACACACAAAAGAACGTGCAAAACAGCTGAGAACGAGAGTAACGGAATATCAACCAAAGCAAAGCAACAAGTGCAACGACAGCGACAACAGCAACAATAAAAACACAAAGCCCTTTTCAATTGAGAGAAAGGCAGTGCATGTGTATGTGTGAGCACTTGAATAAGCAAGCACTTTGTTGTTGTCACAATCAATTTGAGTGATAGCAGCGACGTCGGCAGAGAAACAGCAGCAGCAGCGCAGCAGCAGCATCCGCATCAATTTGCCAGCATCTTCGGCTTAATTCCGAAAAGTGTGACTGTGAGCGTAGTTGCTCCCGTTCCGCCTCCGTAATCGCAACTCGGCGTGTTGTTGTTATTGCCGACTCGGCCCGCGATCTTTATTTTTGCGCTTGTATTGGTGACACAGCAGCGACGTCGTCTTGATTGGAACAGTTTTTATTTTTTCCATCGCATCGCACTTTTTTGATTCCGAATTCTGGTGTATCTGTAGTTTCCCGCTAACGGCGAAAATTCACACAACTCATTGATATTTTAACCTCGTGTCCGCGTTGGCTGCCGCTCGACCAAGGTTCTGCCGCACAAAATGCTCGTCTCTTTGGGCTTTTCGAAGCCTCGCTTCGTCGGACTAAAAGTGCTCCTCTAGCACGCTCGCCAGAGTCCGGCCATCAAAAAGTAAATCCAAAACACTATACATAACCCATTGAATTGGCAGCCAAAAGTTATCACCACCCACCGAATCGTACCAATTCGTACTGTACCGTTATCGTTATCGCGAAACAGAATCCACAGATAAAAACGTTCCGTTTCGTCGTAAATACAGTGCTAAATCGTGTGAAGCAAAGAAAAACTCGAAAAAAAACTTCTTAATTCGCCTAATGAAAGCCGAGAGCATTTTGTGAATAATTAGCCCCGACAAAAACCTGTTCGCAGCCGCAAAAATTAGGCCCCCATAAAAAGTGACGATCCAAGAAACTGGCATCTCGCCCAGCTTGATATATAACACCCCAACACAAACGTAAAGCCCGCGATAACACCCATACAAAAATAAAAAACAGCGAAAATCCAGCGAATCAACTTCACAGTAACGTCGCAAAGTCAGTGCAAGCCAGAGCTAAATCGTCGAGCAAACCGAGTAGTTGTGTCTAAAACCGTTGGTCTAACCTATTGTTGAATTTTCAAAAAGTTATAAACACCCACAATCGCCATCAGTGGTATCAGTATCCAGCCCTAATAACTGCGGAATAATGTCAGCCTTCTGACAGTGTCTATAAAACAAGGAAATCCCGAAGTTATATAATCCCATTTTCGGAAGCGAAACCCTACAAGTGTCCACGGCTTAAACTGCTAATTGGAATGTTGTCTCATATCTGACAGTGACTAAATAAACACCAAAAAGCAACCCCAAAAATAAATCCAACCAGAACTCGAAAAAGAACTTCGAAAGCGTCGGGAGGAAATCGCCCAGGAAAACAACAAAGCCTCTGTTATCAGTGAAATATACAATATTCGATTTTCAAGCGTAAACAACTGCTGTATAATGTCCGTCGCCATCTGACAGTGGTCCAAACAACCAGCAAACAGAGCTAGAGACAGCGTCGTAAAATCGCCGCCGCCAGACAAGTCCCACCAGTGCCAGTGAGACCTGTACCGAATATCCAAAATATTTGAGCTTGCTACTCGGGATCACCGACTCAGAAATAAATGGAGAAATCTGAAATACGACTGCAGCGCATGTCAAATGAATATCACTCGCAATCGAGCTATATGTATCTCCGGACCAAGATGCTGTTAAAAATCGAAAATACCCTACTTCGAAGCCATCGTCAGCGCGAGACCACCGGTATTAAGAAACTATACAATTCGTTTTTCGTATTGTTTTAATTTGCCCCCTGGCCAACCCCCGCCGAAACCTCCCAAAAAGGCCCCAAGAACACAATACGCACAACGCAACAATTCCAATTCCACTCAATTGTGAGCCAAGTTAGAAAAAGTTACAAAAAAGCAAGTTATACATGTTTTAACTATATTAAATATATATGAATAAACTAGAGATATTATTTGGTTGTTAGTAGAACTCACGTCAAGTGCATATTGTTAGACCTCGTATATCCAAGTGCTGTGCGACGAACGATTGAGTAAGTGTGTCATATAAGCATTTTGAAAAAGCCAAAATGTTAACCTAAGCAAATAAGTCGTAAGTGTCAGTCGATCAATAACAGTTTCTACTTCGAATATTACTATAACCATCAATCCAACACTTTTGTTGCATTTCGCGTTGCACCAATAAACTTGAACAAAATTGCTGGCGAAAGGACTCCGGTCGGGAGCGGCATTTTCGTATTTCGGGGGAGAATAATCCAGAAATAATTTGGGCGGCTATATAAAAACAAAAAAAGGGACTAAAAGAGAACAGAACGCGATTCCAACGCCGTTAACTCACGTACCGAATGGCGCTTTCGTTTCTATCTCAAAACTCCGGTCTGTTGGATTTACAAAGCATATTTGATCCACAATATTCTCATCATCAACAACAACAACAAAATTTGAGCCACCACCCCCAACATCACTTTCAACAACATCAAGAAGCGGAACAGATTCAACAACAACATCAACGCACCCTTCCAACGAAGTTCGATTTGAGTCTTTTCAACGAACTCGACCAAATGGAATTCAACAACAATTTAAATCGCAATCAATATCAGAATAATAATATACACAACAGCAACAATAACCAGAACACCACCAACAACACCAACACTAATAACAGTGTAAGTGAAAATTTGAACCAGGTAAGTTTAAAGGTCGCCATCGCGTGGGTTTCCCTGCTTAAAAGGGTTGGGGACAGTAGTCAAAATATAAGTTTTGTAAAACATACATATAAAGAAAGTTAAAGTTACAAGGATCTTTCATTTTAAGCCCTCTCTTAATATTACATTTCGGAACATTTTTCTCAGTGTACTGTGGTTCTCCATCCCCCAGCACATTAAGTAAATAAGTAATAGGTAGAGAATCCAGACTAATTTTAGCAATAAATGTTTATACAACTGTTTTTCAAACCATTGTTAGTTTGCTTCTTTAAACGGTATACACACACTATAAAAGTTCCTTACATGTAATTGAAGAAATCTATTCAAGATTCGCTAGCAAAATCTATTTGCCTTGAGGCAAATATTAATATATAGTTCAATTGCTAATTATACTATATATGGCGGGCGGGGTGTATCATATAACAAAGTTGTGGTAGACAGATAGAGGGAAAAACAACAGAATAGCGCTTAATAAATAGTTGCAAATGTTACGTCAACAGTCCGACTCGCTTGCCCAGTCGATATTTGTCTTTTTTCATTATTTTTGGATGTTTGTTTAAATATAGCCGCATGTTCTGGGTCTTCTTTGCCCAGCCCTTCAAGCTGAGCCGTTTTCCGTTTTGTTTACACACTCGCAGCGTGTTCGAACTTATCTTTCGAAAGCATAATGAAATGGAATCAAGCCGAGTGCGAGTCCTCATCGGCAAATAAACATGAATCTATGGGTGTTTATGCCCACTCTCTCTTGGTACTGGGAGAAAGAGGGATTGGGAGAGTACAGGCGAGATTGTTGGCGGCCTTATCAGCAAGGTTCGGACCTACATGTATAGTATTCCAGCTGGACTTTAGGAGATAATGCTGAGAGGGCATAGCCTCGTTGGCGGCTAGACACGCTTTGTTGTTGTCTCTGGCTCTGATTCGGTTCTATAATGGATCACGACGTCGAAATTCAGTTGTTCAAACTAAAGTGCTCTCCGTTTCGGTTTTCTAGATCCAAAACCGCCACTTCATCAGCGGCTACCACCACCAGCATATTGGATCGGATTATGAGCAAGTGATCAACTTTGTTGACTCGCCGCCAAACTCTGAGGAATCGTGGACAGGTAAGGCTGCCGAAATCAGTACACCCAGATCAGTCAGTCAGCTCACCTCATCTCCATCGTCATCATCATCATCATCATCATCTGCATCATCACCATCGACAATATCGCCCCCGTAGAGACCAGCTCGCTAATCGAACAAATTACGATTGTCGTAGACGCCCAATCGAAGGACTCGCCGGGACCGCAGATCATCGACGTGCAGACCATTTACCTGAACAGCGGCTCACGCAAAAGACGAATGGATTGGGACTCTTTGGACATTGTCCAAAGTGAGAACTCACCCACAGCATCGCAGAGCGGCGAGCTGCCCACCAAAGTGGCCAATCAGGAGAAGGACAAGCACAAGCGCGAGAAGCACTCGGGTAAGATTAACCTTACAATTTTAAATCGCAGAGAATTATGAGGAAGCGTCTTAGGCATGAAGTTTTTGAGTTCTCTCAATTCGGATCGGCAGATCGAATTGAAACCATTTAAATTTGTATATTGTCAGACTAAATCACAATTCTCGTACTTAGAATAATTTCATATATTCGACAAATGTAAACACTACGCTAAGCCACAACCTATGACTCTAAATTTCTGTGCAGATAATAAGATTACTTGGCAATCCCCAAGCTTTTTATGAGTAATCTTCAAAAAGTACCCTATTATTGAGCAATGGTTTTTAAAACTATTTTAAAGAATTAAAGATTTATCGTTCGAAGTGTTAAAAGATCTTAAAACGTCTGAAATAAATTTAAGACAAAAATAAAGTCCAGAAGTTTGGCAATGTTATCTTGCTAATTTAAAACGCAACTGAAAACAGGTTCAACAATTAAATTAAAATCGAAAATACTTTGATGCTTACCCCATCAATTTGACAAATCAAATACAATTTAGATGTCTAAAAATGTCACACTCTCATGAAAGATGATTTACACAATACAAGTATGCAAAAAAATGATACAAGAAAGAGTCATTATAATAATCGCTATGTCTATGCTATTGTTTTTATTGAATTAGCTTGGTGATTTGCATAAAATGTACGGTGACCCACAATCAATGAAAGCAAGAAGCAAGAATGAGAGACTTGAGACTTCTTCCTGGGATTGGAGCTTGGAGCTGGGTGCGAGTCTGAAACTTGTTCCCCTGCCGCGGGTGAGGGCAAATTAGAAGCCGCCGTAATTGATAAACCCGTTTCCGAGTTGCGCCTCTTTGATTATACGGCCCTGTATAAGTATGAATACATATTGGTGTGCCTCGACAGATGTACCCGATCTAACGACTAATTCGATCGTAAGTTCGTAAGACAAACGTGAGTCTTTCTGTTGTTAGGTGCTAAGTGGCGTATAAACAGAGGAATATGATCGCTAATTAGTCTGTATCCATCAGACATGGAGTTATACGACATATGCGTGAGATCGCAATTAAAGGCTGAGCTCGACAAAGGGTTCAACTTGAGGTCTTTGAAGTAGTTGGGCAAACTTGGCGCAGGTGGGGTTGCACTCTGAAAGAAGCAGTCTTTAAATAGTTTCCAAATTAATCATTAGCAAGCGATGGGTTTAATATCGGAGTTCGGTAGCCGTAATGAAATTAACAGCCTGCGATGGTTCAAACTCGCCATAAAAAAGTAATTAACTTAGCACCTCCGCTTGTGTTAATCAATAGAGCTTTAATAATAGAATGCCAGTAAAGAAATAAATCTTCTCTCAGTACTTTTCCAATGTCCCGAACAAGCCCCTAAGCGAAACCCTTTAAACCTTGTAGATGTGTCCTCGCGATTGCTCAAAAAATCACGCAGGGCCCTCGGACTAATTACCACAAAACGAGTGGCCGCGGCATGACACTGGCACACTGATACACTTTGGAACAAATAGATTTAGGTAGGCACACTTGTGTGGGGACCAGACCATATAATTTCGACTCCAATGTAGAGCTCTGCCCTTCTCGCTGATGGCTTATCAACCGGCGGGCGGGACTCGGCGCAGATAAGACTAAATGCTAGCGTTTTTGCGTACAACAATCCACTATTAGGCTAACTTTTTCAGAACTCCACGATTATCGGTCACAACCGATCTTAGATCATTGCGGCGGGCCAAATGGCCTTTCCTTTTGTCCCGGCTTTTTCCCACACTCGCTGTTTATGTAAGCGAAAGCTATAAGATGATATGGAAGCCATTTCCCCTTGCAATTTGTCAAGGGAACTAAGCAGAAGCATCCATTCTATTTGGTGCGCCAATGTCCACATTTACAGATAGTTTTAATCAAACAATTGGCTGTGACACTATCGCGAATGTGAAATGAGTGTGCAGCGGCCAGTCGATGTGCGTCATTCGGTCTTGGATAACTCTGAATCAATTGTGATCGAGATATGTATTGTCCGATGGAACCCACACGAGCACAAGTTCTTTCTGTACACAGATTAAATCAATTAACGAGCCATCACAAACATGTATTCATTAAAGTACAAATTTTTTTTTTGAGGAATTTTGTAAAAACAATTGAAAGTAATGCTGTGCAAATTCTAGGTTCATTTCAGACACATTGCTGTCAACACAAAATTGTCGAACTTATAAGCTTACTATAGAGGTTAAAGGTTAATCCTAAAAAAAATTGCTTAAGTTGAGGAGGATTTTTTGTCAAAGAATAGATTTAATGACACTTTCCCTATTAACAATTTCACATAATGACCTAAAATAAGTTTCAAATTAAATACAAATTTACTTCAAAACGCACCATTAGAACACTCCAAATTACTCGATGTATTCCATAATTAGACATAATTACATTAATGGGGACCCGTATTCAAAATAGTATTAGTCGAAGCTAAACAAAATTATGCTTACGTGTTTATCAATTAATTAAAAACTGGCCTTACAAGTGTCGCATGCTATAAATTCTTCACAGAATTTATTTTGGCCAAGACACAAGTTTGACGTCAACGGTTTAAGGTCGTCGTTGGTTGTTGAGAGCGTCACTCTGTGATAACAGTTCAAATCTAAAAGAAATCTGAAACGTGCCAGATATGGGTTGAATTATAGTTTTTGGTATTCTTCGCATTCGCAGGTCGCAGCAGCTGGAGCGATGATATTGGCTTCGACCTGAACGCCGAGTTCAACACCAACTCGTACTTGAACAAGTAAGAAAAACCCACGAATGCATCTTAATGAAATCAGAGCTAATTTACGTTTACCCTCCTCGATTAGTGAGAACTTCCTGTCGTTCTCGCCCACGCTGACCACCCTGAAGCAGGAGCCGCAGACGGAGCAAATTAAGCCGAGTCCCAAGATTACCCTAGAAAATGCAGCACGATCGCCGTCTGTGGCCATTGCCAAGTTGGATGAGGCCCACAACTCACCGCCGCAGGCCAATACGGCCCAGGATCCGGCCGCAGGATCGGGCTCGGCCGGAACTGGCAAGCATGATGTGAACTCCGGACTCATCTGCGGATGTGGCTCACCGCAGGGCTCGCCCCTGGCTAACACTGAGTATGAGTTGAACGAAAAGGGCAAGCCCCAGCAGCAGCTTAGCGTTTTGGATCCGGCAAAGATCGAGATCGTTTCGGCCAATGGAGCTACCCATTCCGAAGATCACAAGTGAGTATAACTGGGGTCACATAATATATAGTTTAGTTATAGATCTCACACGAGAAAGTTCCTTCAAAAGCTGTTTACAAAATCCATAAATATGGTAGAAAACAAAAGAAAGAGATTAAATAAAATCGAAACTAAAAGGATAGTTTTTTAATAGGGACTTGGACTACGACTAGATACCAGATTATAAACACTCCCCTGCTCTTCCAGATTTCAGTACATTTTGGCGGCGGCCACGTCGATTGCCACCAAGAACAACGAGGAGACCCTGACGTATCTCAACCAGGGCCAGAGCTACGAGATCAAGCTGAAGAAGATCGGCGACCTGTCCCTCTACAGGGATAAGATATTGAAGGTGAGTCCAAAGTCCCTGTCCGCAGCCTCCAATTGAGGCGCAGAGTCATGTGATTCGATGAATTATTCGACTGTCGAGTGTGAGGCTTGGTCAGCGAGTCTGTGTGCCTGAATGTGTGTATCTGGGGGGCTCAATTGATTTTAATAAGCCCCAATTAAGCCGGTCGACTTGAGAGATGCGACTAGGAGGCAAACCCCCCTCTGTACATGTGAAATCTGCGTGTGCGAAATAACTTTCCGAGTGACTTCACTTCTTGCCACAACTCACTTTACCGCCTTCCCTCCCGACTTATATTGCAGAGCGTGATCAAGATCTGTTTCCACGAGCGCCGCCTCCAGTTCATGGAGCGCGAGCAGATGCAGCAATGGCAGCAATCCCGCCCAGGCGAACGCATCATTGAGGTGGACGTACCGCTCTCGTACGGCCTGTGCCACGTGTCGCAGCCATTAAGCTCCGGTTCACTGAACACCGTCGAGATCTTCTGGGACCCGCTGAAGGAGGTCGGCGTCTACATCAAGGTCAACTGCATTTCAACCGAATTTACTCCAAAGAAGCACGGCGGCGAGAAGGGAGTGCCCTTCCGACTGCAGATTGAAACCTATATAGAAAACACGAACAGTACCAACTCGAGCGGCTCGAGCGGCAGCAACAGCAGCGGTAGCGCCAGCGGCAACAGCAACGGTAGCGGAAATAGTGGCTCGACTGCCCCAGCATCTCCGGAACGGACTCCCAATGGCGGAGGCGGCAACAATGGCAAACAGGCGGTCCATGCAGCTGCCTGCCAGATTAAGGTGAGTGTAAATACTCTTGCAGCCAAAGACCCCTTGAGCGGTGGCGGAAATATTATATTGTTTGTCAACATACGTAGATAGCCAAAAGTATCCATTTTGTCCGGTAATAGAGATATCTTTCCGCCTAAAATAAAGTGATAATAAAGATTGCAGATAAGTACCTATGTATAGCCGCTTAAAATAGAGGCTTCTACCTTGTCCTTTGATAGATTTGAATGACCTTTAAAAGGATAAGGCCACCTTTTATTTTTGTAAAAAAAATCTAATCGAAAATTACGCAGAGTATAAACACAGAAGCTATGTATTTTATGAGTTGTACGATTATTAATACATATATAAAATTGTCTAATTTGATTGTGCCAATTAAGATAACCGAAGAGGCCAATTCATATTTCTGACTAACAGCTATTGAATAGAATCAAAAAATGGTTATTATTTGCATTGAGTTTTATGACCTTAAATACGAGGTGACAACCAAGATAATCTGAAATTTATTTTTGAGAACAAGATATTATCAATACAAGTACAAAAAGTGCCCTACAATCTTTAATCCTACGATAAACCAACTCGCATAAGTTTTTCCCCAAGACAATTATCCTTCCAAGAGAATTATCCACCAATTTTTAAATTCCCATCTAAGGCACCCAGAAAACCGATTTTAAATTTTTTCTATTTCCAGGTCTTCAAGCTAAAGGGAGCTGATCGCAAGCACAAACAGGATCGTGAGAAGATCCAGAAGCGTCCGCAATCGGAACAGGATAAGTTCCAGCCCAGCTACGAGTGCACCATCATGAACGATATATCCCTGGATTTGGTGATGCCCGCCACCACTACTGGTTGCTACAGTCCGGAATAGTAAGTATTTAGATTCTCCAGCGAGAGAAGTAGGGAGACAGTGGGGGAGAGCGAATCTCTTCAGCTGACATAGCTTCTGCTCCGGAATTAAGCAACAATTTATTTCGCTGCGCTGTCCCGCAATCTTCCAATTGAGCCCGCAAATTTTTCCACAAGTTTTATTTATGTGACAGCTACGGCCTGAGCTTTTTGATTTACGAACCAGGCGATTGCAGTCCCAACTATTTACATAACGTCCAGTTAAGATCAAGTGCATATTACGTATCACGTAGATACTTGTTCCCTATCTGCCCGTACAGTGCGGCTCAGAGCCCTGAGGTACGTCTCAGCCATGTTTTGACCTAGGGCTGCAGTATAGTTATGGGGTCGACAAACATTTCCTACAATGATTAGTTTTAAAAGAATTGCATACATGTTTTCGTCAATTTGTCTTGCTAGGCCAAATGATTGTTGACACTAAGTCAATTAAGTTTTGGCAAGCAATTTATTTAATTCTCGTTTAAATCTATTCATTTATAGATTTTTGCTTTCACGCTTAATAAATATAATCAGTAAATAATGTGTTAAAAATGAATACGTTTGAAATTTGTAAAAAAATTGGCGAAACGTAAAAAACATTCTAAAAAAACAATTACTGAATAATTACAACTTCAATCGGTTCAGACTTAGTTTGGGACTGAAATGGATTTGTTTGAATAAAAAGATCAAAAACGTTTTGTTTATTTGTTTTTTTGAAATATAAAAAAACATTCCACACCAATACACTTTCGATTTTGTGGTACAATCAAATGTTTTTCTTGCTCAAAATCAGACATTACATTAGGTATAGAATGGAAAGCGGCAAGAGTACTAAAATAAACATTTACCAAATATAGTATAAGCCATCTGTCATTGCCCTACAATTGTGAAACGCACTTTCCAGTGGAATTTTCCTATAACGAGTGCCAGAGGAAATCATTTAGTTTGTCATTTCCATGATCACCAAATCATAAAGATCAATCGAATTGAGAGCGGTATGCAGAGAGATATATGCCCCTTGATCAGCGAGAGATCGGGTGAGACGGGAGAATGAGATATAGAGAGAGGGCCGAGATCTCGAGAGACCTGTAGAGAGCCATTGAAGGATCATTGGGCGCTAAGAGATCAGCTAAGAGCATTTTGCGCCGTGGTCTTTGTTGTTTTTGCGTCAGCTCCAAGCTATTTTTAGTTTAAAGTTGCTTTTAACCGGTTTTCGGTATTCGTTTCTGCTCAATGATTTTATTTGTTTGCTGGCCAAGCACTATAGATAATAATGGCAAATGATATGGGGATTGTATAAGGTCTTGTTTTGTTAGGTTCGATTATATCGATCAGGGGCTGAAAAGCCATCCTATAGCCAGGCATTATCCATTCAAAAAACCGGAAATGACTGTGGGGGAGGGGCGGCGAAAGACGAAAGTCTGGAAAATTTCCCCGATAGAAAGGCAGCCATATAAAATAGATTCGAAACGGGTTTGCCAGGCCAATCAGCCGCAACAGGGCGTATCGGGTGGCTTGTAAACAAGGCGAGTGGTTCGCGGAAGAGCAAACCAGATTCTCCGGGTTGCGGGACAGGATGGGAAACTCGAAAAGCGAATTTCGCGATGGAGTCCCTCGCATTCGTGAACATGCGCTTGCATCTTAAGGATCGTCGCTCCTGCCAACGCCAGATACAGAACGAGCTCTACTGGATTTGTAGGACTTGCAGCAAGGAATCTTCAGCTTAAATCCTATTAATCCAACCCTCATCTCGTATCCTTTGCAGTATGAAACTCTGGCCGAATTCGCCCGTGCACATACCCAAGTACGATGGGATGCTTCCGTTTGCCCCAAGTGCAGCATCTCCGGCTACCAGCAGCAGCCCCATTGCCATCAACTCGGTGACGTCGACCAATTCGCCCACCCTCAAGCTGATGGACGCCACCAACATGGTCTCACCGCAGCATGTGCCCGCCGACATGGACGATTATGTAGGTGTCATTGCCCCACTGCACCCTAAAACTACTAACTAAACGACCCTCTATTGTCCATATCAGAGCCAGAACATAATGCCGGAATCGACGCCCTCGCAAGTGACGCAGTGGCTGACCAATCATCGCCTCACAAGCTATCTCTCAACGTTCGCACACTTCTCGGGAGCGGATATCATGCGGTATGTAATCCAGTACAGCATTTTTTACCTTTCATAACAATTTCAAATCAATTTCTTAGTAACCCAATTCCATAGTGACAAATTTGTTTGAAATTCGAAAGCGTAGAAATCTATTGTCTAATCAAAGAAGTTTTGTGATAATCATTGTTTAATATACATTGTTTGATAACAGTTGCAACGCAAAAACACTTTACAATAACTGAATTGTTGATCCAATTCTCAGACAATTTGTCAATAAGAACCGTTTGTCTGGCAAACTAAGAGTGCTTGAGTGTTTTTGATTACCATTTTTTTTTTCAGGGCATGTTTCAACACAATGTTTCAATCAGTTAACCACCAGTTGGGTAATCTTGTTGACTGACATCTAAAAGATAGCGAAACGAATAGAAAATAACTATAGGATAACATGATTCCACAACTGATTGATAACAGACATTAAACTTAACCATAATCTTCTCCGATTATTAAATGACTTGATAAGATAACTGTCCTACCGCATCAGATACTTGACTTTTTCACTAGGTTTTATTCTATGGTCGAACGAGGGTTTTTATGGTCTTATACAAAAATTGGTTTATTTTAATTGTTCCGCATCGCATTTATTTTATTTTTGTCTGCTTGTGATTTATTTATAATTTGTGATTTATTTATAGCATGTCCAAGGAGGATTTGATTCAAATTTGTGGCCTGGCCGATGGCATTCGCATGTTCAACATTTTGCGCGCCAAGTGAGTTTTCAATTATCGTTTATTTCGTGCATGTTTTTTTAAAACTAAACCTTACAGGACCATTGCCCCGAGGCTTACGTTGTATGCCAGTTTGGATGGCTGTAGCTACAATGCCATCTACTTGCTGTCGAGCACGGCCAAGGAGTTGCAGCAGAAGCTGTTTAAGATGCCCGGTTTCTACGAGTTCATGGCCAAGGCCAGTGCCCAGGAGAATGGAGCAGGAGGAGCTGCAGCCGCTGCTGCTGCCGCCCTGTTCAACAACTGGGGCATGCACTCCAAGTACTCGGGCAGTGGCTCCAATATTTTCAATGACGCCAACAAGAGCTGCGTGTACATATCGGGGCCCTCGGGCATCCTTGTGACCGTCACCGACGAGGTGCTCAACAACGAGATCAAGGACGGCAACCTTTTTGCCCTGGAGGTGCAGGCCGGCAAGGTCATCCTTAAGCTGATCAACAAGCAGGACAACAATTAAAAGATCTTATGGCTACGTAGACCCACTGTAGACACCACCCGAGCAACCAAGTATAGTTTATAGCATTTACACGCAGTTCGAAGCCATGTCGAAATCGTTTTCTATATAAGCTTCAATTCATATGAGATTTCGTGCAGCAATTTTGAACAAGTATAAAGCAAGCAACCCGAAACCCTGTTCCCTAAAATCCCTAAATCTTCGTTAAAACAACTAGTGCAAAATATTTAAGATTTCGTTTTCAGTCCTCACTTTAAGTTTTGTTTATTTTATATGTATTTTATACCACCTACGATACACGATTACATATGCACATTTAATTCTCCAATGCGATTGCATTTCGATTCGTTATTTTCTATACTTTTAACTTTCTTTTATTTCTATGGCTTATGCTTATCACTTATATAACGATTATATATTTGTTTGTAGAACCCAACCAATATCAATTATTTGAAGTAGAAAGAAAAACCCAAAAAAAAAGCAACATACAATTACAATAATGATTATTATCTTCAAGTACAGTACCACGAATACAAGAATTGAGCAATTGTTTCGAAGCAGAGTTCAACTAGCAACCAAACAACAACTTTTGTATGTGATAGAAGCAATAAAGTGTTATCCACAAGTGGACTGTCGAAAAAAACGTCTTAATGTGTATTTATTTATTTGATTGTTTTATATAAAAAGTATTTGATATGGCTGGCGGAGTTCCTGATCCTTTTTAATATTTCGAGAAGGTTATTAAAACTCTTGACACTATAATTTTGTTATCGAATTTAAATTTTTAGACAATAAAAATGTATCGATATATAATACATTTTTTGTTTGGGGAGTCCCCAATAATTTAGTATGATGTAAGTTCTCGATCAGTTTGGTTCTCGATTTGGCATAATATTTTCTAAATTTAAAAGTAATTGGAGTCTTAAAACCATGAATAGCTTTCATGTCAGCATATTCATCTACTTTCCTTTGCTCTGCTCGCTAGGTGAGTTAATCAACTTTTACGTTAGTTAATACATACATAATGTAATTTGGATGAATTTGCAGCTTTAATGGTGCAGAGCGATTGTAGAATATCACAATATATGGTAGAGGGATCGAATAGGATCTTTACCTATCGCGATGCCAGTGGAACTCTCCAATTGCAGCGCAGGGAAATTGTTCCATCCGGTGTCACTCTGCTAATGTACTGCAATCCTTCGGAGATGGTGGAAACTCAATGCCAGGACAACGGACAGTTCTCAGTTCCGCTGCCCATGAGTTGTGGCAATCCAATGCAACCGAAGGCCACTCGAATCCGGGATGGCGATTGTTCGGGAAACTTGTATGCCGTGGGTTATACGATAGACGGGAAGAATCTGGAACTTTATAGAACTTGCTTTGATGCCGGCCAGGGAAGGGTTATGTACTCGCAGAGCGATGTCTACTTCAAGAGTTTCTGTGAGTGAATTCTAAGCTCTGCCCTATTTTATACCTCTTTAATACCGAACATCATGTATTAAACTCTGCCTGTGATAAAAACAAACTGTGATGGTATTACTAAAAATGTATATTCTAAAGACATAATCATTACTATTCCCGACATAAAGAGAAAAGATATAACTATAACACAATAGGGTTATCTTCGATGCCTGAAAGTATTTATATTATATTATAAACCACACATTAATCCTTGCCTTATCCGTGATAGTTCCCAGGAGACCGTTTATTGAGTTTGTGGCCGATGAGATGTTTAGTCCCCAGGAGGCCGCCGCTTATATGAAGTCAAACATATATTTCGCCTTCAAATGCATTTATGGTGATGATCAGTCCTATTTACAAAGTGCCAACTCCTTGGTGATAAATCGAGGTCATCTGGTGGCCTCTGCGGACTTCCTGTTCGTGGACCAGATGGGTAGTACCTTTCGCTATCTGAATGTGGTGCCGCAATTCAAGTCGATTAACGATGGTAACTGGGAGAAAATCGAGAGGTGGGTGCGTAGTCAGATCCCTCCTTCGAGCTATTACCGGATCAAGTCCGGAGGAATTGGCATCCTGAATTTGCCAGATGCCAGGGGAGCCATTAAGCCGGCCTTCCTCTCAAACTCCAAGATCCCAGTGCCCGAGTGGACCTACAAAGTGGTGCGGGATGCCAGTGGCAAGGGGCTGTATGTCTTCCTAACTTATAATAATACCTTTGTGCGAGAGACACCACAATGTCTGGATGTTTGTCGTCCAGTTAATTGCCCCTTGGGTCTCCCGAATAGCCCCGTCGAGGGATTCACCTTCTGTTGCGATCCGGGGCAGTTCCCACTCTGAAAATGCAAGTATTCGTAAATATTTTATCGGAGGACTATGCCAAATTGGCCAGCGTAATAATCGCAGGCTGAATTATTCAGTATTTTTATTTAACAGACGCACCTAAGTGGAAATGCGAAAATGGCGAAAATCCGTTGCACTGCGAAAAAAGAGGGCTTAATAAATGAAAATTTGAACTAATACTTAGGTAAATTACATTTTCTGGGTCTACAAGATTATTGGAATGAGTTTACAAATTTATTAATTTGATGACAATAGTTTGATTTAATGCTATACAAAATGTTGAACCATTTTTTAAAAAAAAATTTTTTTGTAATCTTAAATTAATTATAATTAAAATTTGAGGGTCTACAATTAAAAAGTAATGCCATTAAACAAAATTATTGGAATGATTAAAAAGGTATCAATTTGATAACAATAGTTGGTTAATATGGTCTATTTACCAATTTGGGAAAAATTAATCAAGGTTTTTTTAAATCTTAAATTATTTAGAGTTAATTGTTGCTGAGTGAAAGCCACACCGGACGATTAGGCAAACAATGGAACGGCTAACGACATTTTAAATGCTTTTCGAGAGTGCATAAAATCAGTCGGCGCAAATAAATCATCCTCAACTTCGATGAAAGTCGTCAAGTGAAATGAGCAAAGGTGCGGAAATCTTTTACAAGGGCCAGAAGGTCTTCTTGAACATCTTCTCGCTGTGGCCCCGGGATGAACGCTGGTGGAGAATCATCCATTTGGTGAACTATGTGCATGTGATTTGCTTCTGGGTACTGCTCTTCGATCTGCTGCTGGTGATGCACGTGGTGGCCAACCTGAGCAACATGTCGGAGGTTGTGAGGGCAATCTTTGTCCTGGCCACCAGTGCGGGACACACGGCTAAGCTGCTCAGCATTAAGGCCAACAATTTGGCACTGGAGGAGCTGTTCCAGCGGTTGGACGACGAGGAGTTCCGGCCAAGGGGCGCCGAAGAGGAGTTGATCTTCGCAGGCGCCTGTCAAAGGAGTCGGAAGCTAAGGGATTTCTATGGGACCCTGTCCTTAGCCGCCTTGTCCATGATCCTCATACCCCAATTCGTTCTTGACTGGTCCCATCTGCCACTGGGCACATATAATCCCTTTGGCGAGAATCCTGGCTCACCTGGCTACTGGTTCCTCTACTGCTATCAGTGCCTGGCTTTGTCCGCCTCCTGCATCACCAATATAGGCTTCGATTCCCTCTGCTCCTCGCTGTTCATCTTCATTAAGTGCCAGCTAGATATTCTGGCCGCGAGACTGGATAAGATGGGTCGGCTGAATAGTGCTGGTGGCTCCGTTGAACAGCAACTGAAGCAAAACATCCGATATCACATGTCCATCGTAGAGTTGACAAAAACCGTGGAACTTCTTTTTTGCAAGCCGATTTCGGTGCAGATCTTCTGTTCGGTATTAGTTTTGACGGCCAATTTTTATGCTATAGCTCTGGTAAGTACTGTCATATACATTTTATTAAATACAAAGTAAATGTTCATCTAAATGTTTTTATTAAATTATTTTTAAGTTATTCAATCAGTTTGGCTTCTACATATTAATATTTTATATCGGTAAATCGTTCAAATCCGAACGCAGATTATCCATTTATACCCAATATAGGAGGTCGTCCATATATATATAATATGTAGCGAAGTGATTACCCTCATGTACTTATTTTTAAACAATTTTATTATACTCAGGGGAGGGGGAATAACAAATTACTTAAACTATGGTAACGTAATACATGGATATTCTCTATTTGGAGCTAACTTAAGTTTCATTTAAATAACCATAAAAATGTTTGAGTTATTCAAATCCATTTTTTTCTCTTGCCCAGCGCTATAAATTGTAATAAATTTATCTTAATTGCACTAGTCACTGCTACAGTTCATGATTAATTTTCTTTTTTAATTTGCTTCTTTATTAATCATGCTGTTGTTAAATAGCAGTTTTTAAAGTTGTAATATTATGGGGCATTGGTTCCATTTGCCAATTGCATTTAAAAAATTCAAATAAAATACAATTATATTTTATCTAATGTACTACAATTTCTGTGCTTCCCAATCGATCCCCACTTTATAAATTTAGTTGTCTGATGAGAAGTTGGCGCTCTTCAAATATATAACCTATCAGACGTGCATGCTGAGTCAGATCTTCATATTGTGCTACTTTGCCGGGTGCGTAAGGACATTTTTAAAATCATTAGTAGAGTACTAAACACTTTTCCAACAGTGAGGTAACCCAGCGAAGTTTGGAGCTTCCGCACGAGCTTTACAAGACTCCTTGGGTGGACTGGACTCGCCCCAACCGAAGGATTCTACTGCTTTTCATGCAACGCCTGCACTCCCCTCTTAGGATAAGGACCCTAAACCCCAGCCTGGGCTTTGATCTAATGCTTTTCAGTTCGGTGAGCTATTTTCTTGGTTCAACCATTTCGTGCACTGTATCCAATTTCCATAATTAGCCTCATTAGCTGGGTGAGTTATTGGCTTATAAAAGGGTTTCCTAAAGCAGTTTTCAGGGAAAAGTGAAAATCGCCAGCATGAATCAAGATCAAGTAGCAGCGAAGGACTTCTACAAGTACCAAGTGTGGTACTTCCAGATCCTGGGAGTTTGGAGGCTTCCCATTTGGGCCAAGGCTCAACAGCGTCGCTTTCAGGACATTCGGTTTGCCTTTATTCTGGTTATCCTTTGCATCATGCTCCTGCTTTTCGCCTTGGCGCTGATGAAAAGTATTTCCCAAGTGCGGGAGATCCTGAAAGTGTTCTTCATGTTCGCCACCGAAATATCCTGCATGACCAAACTATTGCACCTAAAACTCAAGAGCCAGAAACTCGCTGGTCTGGTTGAGATGATGTTGTCCTCAAAGTTGGCCGTTAAAACTGAGCAGGAAAGACAGATTTTGGAATCATCTAGAAAAGCAGTTGTCCACATGAGGAACTTCTATGGCATCATGTCCTTTGGGACGGCTTCGTTAATCCTTTTGGTTCCCTGTTTCGACAACTTTGAGGAGCTCCCACTGACCATGTTCGAGGTGTGCAGCATCCAGGGAAGGATCTGCTATTGGCTGCAGTACCTCTTTCACTCCATTTGCCTGCTGCCCACTTGTGTCCTGAACATTACCTACGATTCGGTGGCGTTTTCGCTGCTCTGCTTCTTGAAGGTGCAGCTCCAGATGCTGGTCCTGAGATTGGAGAAGATGGGCCCAGTGACAGATCCTAGGGATAACGAGAGGATTGCCGGGGAGCTGCGGGAATGTGCCGCCTACTACAACAATATTGTCCAGTTCAAGGACCTGGTGGAGCTGTTCATAAAAGTGCCAGGATCCGTGCAGCTCATGTGCTCCGTTCTCGTGCTGATATCCAACCTGTATGACATGTCCACCATGTCGATTGCTGACGGCGACGCCATCTTTATGGCCAAGACCAGCATCTACCAACTGGTGATGCTCTGGCAGATCTTCATCATTTGCTACGCCTCAAACGAGGTGACTGTCCAGAGTTCCAGACTTTGTCACAGCATCTACAGCTCCCAGTGGACAGGATGGAACAGGTCGAACCGCCGGATCGTCCTGCTCATGATGCAGCGCTTCAATTCCCCGATAATCCTGCGCACCTTTAATCCAACCTTTATTTTCAGCTTGGAGGCCTTCGGATCTGTAGGCAATCCAAAAAACTTTTTTCTATGAGTATATCTAATTAAGATTCTTTTTTCCAGATTGTAAACTGCTCCTACAGCTATTTCGCCTTGCTGAAGAGGGTCAACAGTTAGGTTTCTAATATCGCCCTGGATTCCATATTCCATCTGTAAAAGGACAACTTATTTCATCTGAAAATACAACTAGGACTTTCAGACTTAAGATGGAAAAGTTGGTTGCAAATTACTTACAAATTTCTTCAGTTCAAGTCAAATCCCCTATTTAAATTGGAAGGAAGCAAATAAATAAACGTTAGCTTTCCTCTTACAGCAAAGTAGCAACATCAGATACTTATTGAGAAATAAATAAAAAAGAAACCATTGGATTTGCGAACAGAAGTGAAAAGTTAAAATAGACGTCAATATATAGAAATTATTAATATACTTTATAATAGAAATAGCAGTTCAATGAATATAGTTGTGTTTGTCCTGAAATTATTTGTATAATCACTTAAAACTTTACAAATCTTAAATAAAATCTACTACAAATTTTGCACCACATATTCAGAATACTTATGAATCAATTTACTTCCAAATTGTCTTATTTGTATTTATTTTTTATAGGTGTTATAAAATTAGTGTATTACTTTTGGTTTTAAAACGTATGAAATGCAATAGTCATGATTCCATTTTCAGATAGTTATTATTTTGTTTCGTTACTAGCAGTTACATTTTAAAAATTTTGGTATACGGTCACTTTAGCGTCAGCTATAAAAATACCAGACTAGCGCCGCGAAATTAAACCAACTTTAAAACCCCTCATAAATGCACTAACGCCTCTGATTCGCTGACGGACAAAGATTAAGATGTCGGAAAACGCAAAAAATAATAGCTGTCTGCATTGCTCCGTATTCAGTACGAAATACCAGTACCAGGAGATATTCGATGAGTTTGGAATCGAGCTGGGTCTCCAATCCTTGCTGGCCAAGCACTACCAGGTCGATGTCGTACCCGATCCCCAGAAAAAGCAGCTTCTGTGCGAAGTGTGTGTCAATAATCTCATCCGCCTGTTCGACATCGATGAATTGGAGCGGGAAAGGGATGCAGCCAAGACAGTGGACCAGAATGCGGCGCCCAAGCATCCCATTATCATCACCGATGTCGAGGCATCGCCACCTGCAGCGAAGCCCGCTAAGAAGGCTACGCCACCAAAGCCCCTGGCAAAGGTCCTGCGCCCTGTACCCATAGCTCCCACCCGGGAACCAAGTGCCCGCATCAACAAAGGAATTCCTGCGCCCCAGTTAACCCTTGGTTCATCTAAGCCTCCTGCCCGATCCAAGGATCCTCCACAGAAAGGTCCTCCCCTCCAAATTGAAACTCCAAAAGATGCGGATCAAGAGCAGATAAGTGTCCTGATACAAAACATCCTGGACGAAGATGAGACCGTCGTTGAAGAGGTAGCCAGTGAAGTTACCCAGATCGCCGAGGAATCGGAAAACCCAGCCGAAATTGTTCTGCTGAACAACGAACCCGAGGCTGAACCTGTTCTAGATGAGGAAGATGTATACATATATGAGCACGAAGGTTGGATTAACATTGGATTGCTATCCCTAAACCATAAGCTATAATATCTAAATACACATTTCCAGATATACTGGACCCAGATTTGGAGGATGTAAAGGACAAATCAATGGTTCGTCCACCTAGATTAGTAGTCCAACCTGAGGAGAGCCAAAGCGAAGGAGAGGACGACGATGGCGAGGCCAGCAATGTGGTTCTATTCAACTTTGTTGATATCAAGGAAAGTGAGTTTAGATCAGCAACAGCAAACCCCACATATAAACCATTTTATTTGTCTCTTTTTCAGAGGATGACATTGAGGACATTTCTGAGTACTTGTCAACTGTGGTGAAAACCAGCTTCGAAAAGCTTACATTTGAGTGGAGTACAGTGTGCAAACACTGCTCCTTAAAGTGTCCCACATTTGATAGTCTTTTAAGTCACATTGTTAAGGCCCACAAAACCCGGAGAGATGTCTACCAGTGTCCCATTGAAGGTTGCAGCAAGGAGCTAAAGGGTCGCCAGTTCCTGGCCATGCATCTGGTTCTTTTGCACGCTCCCGTGGCTGAGTAACTATTAAAATTATCTGAATCCACCTTGAAAATCAATTGTGTCATGTGTTATTTAGGATTCCAATATATGGCAGCTGCCCGGAATGTAAAATGACATTCTCCAACATTTTGCAGTACAACAAACACTCTTGCGCCCATGTCATCAAAAAGAAACGGGGTGTTCGCTCGTTTTGTGAAATGTGCTCCTTGGAGTTTCCATCATGGAAACGGTAAGTTGTCTTCAACTTGTGCTTGCCTATAAAAGTGATGCCAAATTTGATTTATATTACATAATTTCCTTTACAGATTCAGTTTCCACAACCAATTCCATCTGGAGAAGCATAGACCTCGCGCCTGCTTCGTCTGCGATTTTGCCAGCACCAACATCGATGACCTTTTCCAGCATTTAAATTATGCCCATGAGCCAGTGGGCACCTTATTTTGCGACCTGTACGTACACTGCATTTAACTATGGTAACACCAGTTTGATGCTGTTATTTCTTATAGTTGCGACCGGACTTTCCGTGATCCGGCCGTGTTCATGGAGCACAATAAGTCGCATGCCAATGTGAGCAGTACAACCTATTCCTGCGGCGAGTGCTTGGCACACTTTGAGTCACGAGGGCGATTGAATGGGCACATGGTAGAGTATCTCTGGCTTAATAAGCATTTATTTCTTCTCTTACATTTAAATTTAATTCAATAACTAATAAATTTTATAAATTTTAGAGAGTCATGCATGGCAGCGTGGTAAGCTGCGAGCTCTGCTCCCGAGAGTTTGCCACCGAAGCCACCTACAACATTCACATGAAGAAGCACTTGATCATTGAGCGAGATGTGCACGTGTGCAGCAAATGTGGCCTGGTGAGCGACAGCCGCGAAACACTACTTGCCCATGCGGACTCCCCGACATCTGCCTGTTTTGGCACTAAAATATATATGGAACTGCTTCGTGATGCTTACGTCTGCGAATACTGCTCATCGTACTTCAAAGAAAAGGAAAATCTTCAAGCACATCGAGAGTCAGGCGTTCATAAGGACGGGTTGTACTGGTGTCAGCCCTGCGGTAAGGACTTCCCCCACATGAAACTGTACCGCCACCACCTGCGCAACTATCAGAAACTGCGCTCGGATTTGACGCATCGTAAGCTTGAGATTTGTGCCTTTTATATGTGCGATCAGAAGGTGAGACTTGCTGCGTTTGGTCACCAAAAATTGAAAATTAAAAGTGTTTTATCTCTTATAGAACTGCTCGGAGGCATATGTAAACTGGAACTCCTTGTACACACACAAGCGACGAACCCACGAATCTTCAAATAAGCAGGCGGAGAAAACCGCCAAGAGTATCCAAGAATGGATTTGCCAATTTTGTTCAAAGGAGTGCCGCTCAAAGATGTCCTTGTCTGTTCATGTGGCAAGGAGCCACAATAATGGTGAGAATGCCGCTCCTTATAAACCTTTCCCTTGTTTAATCACTCCTTAAAACTCTTTCAGACAATGTGGTTTGTCCTTTATGCAAAGCCTCATATAAAAGCCAGGATGCTCTAGCCAAGCACCATGCCTATTGGCACGAACCCATCGAGTGCCCTCAATGTTTTAAAATCGTTAAAAATCGTCGTAATTATGACACTCATGTGAATGTGGTGCATTCGAATACAAAGCGCTACTCCTGCGGTGTCTGTGAGAAAGGATTCTATCACAGAAGTGAAATGGAAGCTCATCAGAAGGTGAATATTGTAGCCTACCCACAATCGATGTTTAAATAATCTAACCTTTTTGAGTAGCTCCATGGTCAGTCTTATAGCTGCGAGCAGTGTAGCTTCACCACCAGGAACAAGAAGTCCCTATCTGTTCATATTCTGGGTCAGCACTACAAGCGCTTCGCTTTTGAGTGCAAGGCGTGCAAGAAGAGGTTTGGACGCCGTCAGGGCTTGAGTACCCACATGCAACGAGCACATGGTTACAAGTATATGTGCCGTGCTTACTTCGAGGGCGGTTGTGGACGCACTTTTGTAAACAGTTCCCAGCTGAATGTACATGTGCGAAAGGTACACAAAGGTGTCATATTCCTGCAGGAGGATCTGGTCGAAGAGGACGAATATGTCAGCGACGGGCCATCCACATCTAAGAGGCGATGCATTCGTATCAACGAATACAATATTGAGTTTATAGCAGACGGAGATGAAGGAGATGATCCGGATGGGATAGAAATGGAAGAAGGTGACGGGGATGAGGAAGAATTTGTCGACGACGTACCAGATCAAGATACCAAACATTGAGGCACACACTTTGGAGTTACTTAAGATTTGTTGCTAAAGCAGATTTATTTGATTTGATTTTCATTTGTTTGCTACCAATTATTTTGAACACAAATGATGTCCAAAAACGACATTAGTATGTATTCCATAGTTAATAATTCATAATTCTAATGATAATGTAATAGCTACGTTTAGGCTAACTTCAATTGCAATTAACTAGCCAGAGTCTGGCGGAAGCAAATTTGATTTATTAAGCGTTGTAGTTTGGTCATTTAATTGCTGAAGATTGTGTGCGGAGCTTACCTGAAATTGAATTTAAGATTTAATTATTAAATCAAGGAATTTGTTTAGATTCATTTTTACTTACTGGGCTAATTGGTGTTATAACAATGGCGGTGCGCGTGGCACACTGCAGCAATGCCGTGTCCTCAGTGGACTCATCACAGTCGCCATCGGCATCCGCGTCCACATCCACTTCCACCCCAATATCACTGTCGATCTCCCAGGAGGGGAAATGATCCATCTCACCCTCACAGTTGAGATCCTCCTCCTCAAAGTCCTCGTACTCATCGATTAGTATAACTGAATATGAGATTTTAAAAGTAAATTTATAAGTTATTTTAAGAATGACCTAATAATAAAGGGTCAAATTTAATTTAACTTCAGCCTTTAAAGGACAGAATTCGTTATAACTTAAAAAAACCGAAATAATATTATTAAAAATTGTTAATGAAAAATAAAACCAAAATAATAATTTAAAAAAGTTTTTTATTTGTTTTGACGGGAATTTATTTAAATCAAAATAAAACCGATTTCTTAACTGTATAACAAGGAGAAATCAAAACTTTAAACATTTTTATGAATGTTTTTTTGTTTTTAGGCAATCATTTTAATAATGTATCTCATATATATTAAATAATAAAGATAATAAAGCACTCAATTTACTAAGTATTGTTAAAGTAGTTCTAAATCAAGGGTGAATTTAAATTAAATTACTTGAACTATCTGGCGGCGTTGGCTTCGCACTGCTGTCCAGGGACTCAGCTCCCTCATCGGGTATGTTGATCCGTTGCTCCTGCTTGCTATACGGCTCCGATGTGGATCTATGTAGGCTGCACATGGTAGATATTTAACGAAACGTTTTTATTTTTAAAGGCTAAAACCCACCTTAACGTAACACGTTTTTTGGTTCTATTCTCTAATTCAGTCATAAAAACATCATTGTGCTGCTGCTTCTCAGACCCCAGCTGATATGAGTTAAGCACGGAAGACTGGAAGTATGAGTTATATATTTCAGATAGTTATATTTCAAAATGTTAAGTCGGTAACACCTTTGTGTTGGTCGCTGTATGCTGCATGTGCGGCGGCATGGGGGTTTGTGTGGCGATCGCATCCGTTGTCGTGGTGGCCGTTTGCGTGGCCGTAAGGGATCGCAGCTCGGAGCCATCTGCACCCGAGGGATTCAGCAGGGGTATGGTGGTCACCTGCTCCGGATGCACACTGAGCGCCGCCGTCCGTTTCCACACATCGATCATCGCCAGGTTGTGGGCGTGGTGCAGGGGCTTGTGGCTAGGACTAATGGAATGTATTTTGGGCTTGGCTGGCAGCGGAAGAGCCAGGAATCTATCACGATCCTCCATGTACGCCTTGATCAGCACGTCCAGCTTCTCTTCGATATCGGCGACCTATTGTGGGTTGTGGGAAAGCAATTATATCAGCTATCCATTATTTTCTCTAACTTTCGCTCACCTGCCGCTCGACTTTCACCACACGGGAGGCTAAGCTTATTTTGGATGCATACACATCCTTGGCCTTGGAGCCTTGTTTGCCCAGGATTTGATCCAAGCTGTGAGTTGTTTTTCAGTCAATTAATATAGGTTAAAAATGGCAATATTTTTTTTATTCTCACCGCAAATGTAGCATTTTAACGCGACCCAACAAGTCCACGTGTCCTGTAAATTAAAAATAGTTATTTAGATATATTTAGTTGGGCAATTGGATATAAACATTAATAACCACATTTCTTAAAACTTGTACAACTTTATTTAATATTTCAAATCAAAGGATGGAATTTATAAATTTTTATTCAAATTTATTTGTAATTTTCAACATACATTCTTAAAATATTCTCATATTGGTATTGAATCTGCTTAACTCAATCAAAATCGAACGTCTTATCAACGACGGAGTATCGAATCAACAGTAATTGGATAAACCTGATTTACGAAATTGGTCTTCACTTACCGGCCGCATATTGCTCCATAACATCCTTGACGTCGTAGGGTTTCAAGGCCTCCTTGAACTTTCGTCGCGCCACAAAGTACTTGAGCTGTTGGAGGAACAAGTACCAGTGTTTCGGATTAAATCCCCAGAATTACAGGGTATCTGTGGACCCTCACCTTGCGTATAAACCTGATGGCGGTCTTGTGCCGATTGGTTAGCTGCGTGCAGCGCGGCTCGTCCTCCTCATCTGCGGGCAATTTGTGAATCAGAGAGATTGACTTGTGCGTTAGGTTTTGGTTGCTAGCTTCGCTTGTTGGTTATTGGATTTTTTGGTTTTTTTGGTTTGGATATGGTTAATCAAGTCAACGTCAACGCAAATATACAACAACACATACAAAAGTACCGTTACACACACATATGGAACAATTAGTAAATACACATGGATTATCATTAATATATAGAGATAGAGAGCTTAGTTAGTTAGTTAGTTAGTAAATGCGAGGAACGAAGGATCCTCCAGCCCAGAGATACTGAAGCAAGCGTTGTGGTGTGAGGTGTCTCTGTGTGATGGAGGGGTGTGGATTTCGAGGGTCAGGTGGAACCAAATACCTACATCAACTACAAATCAAAGGGGCGGGGAATAAGGACACTCTATGGAGGTGGACAGCATGCAACCCTAGCGCTACTCCTAGGCGGAGGAGATACGTTTGGAGATACTTTCGGGGATGCGTCTTTCCGGCTAGCACGCACTTGCCACGTCGCCAGTTGGATTGGTGGTGAATCCGGTTTCCAGAAAGTGCGATGCAGCCGCGAAAAAGCGACCCGTCCGTCCACTTCCCGGACTGGGACTCGGACTGGAGCCGGGACTCCCCGGATTGCCAGGCAGTGGCAAGGTGTTGCTCCGCTGACAGGCCTCCTTTGCGGACCCTTCCTCCTCCCGGCCAGCTTCCAAGTCCCGATCGTTGGCCGGAGCCACCCGTGGATTGCGCAGCGACAGCGTCGAGCCCAAGAAGTTGCCATGCAGGAAACCGTAGAGCACCACCGGAATGGTGAGGTTTCTCCTGGAACCACCACCCTTGTCCTGCTCCTCACCCTGCTCCTGATCCCGATCCCGAACCCGACCAGGAAACTGGGCCAGGGAGCCGGCACTAGAGCTGAGCTTGCAGTTGGCCAGCGCGGGCTGGCTGGCTATGTTAGGTTAAGATTTCTGGATTATAGGACCCATTGGGAGGGGGAGTAGTCGTGTTAGGCAACCAACCAACAAACAACATCAATTCAAAGTTCAATCAATCTTATCTCTGGGATGCATTGGATTCACAACATTGACACAACCACAACACTCAAATACAATATAGTGTGATATAATAATCGGTTTTTTTTTTATTATTCGTATTGTAGGACCTGGGGGAGAGGACCTTGTAGACTTACCGTCTGAATTTTTAATATTTTTTAAGCAAGTGGTTTCAGCAACTGAATCTTCGCTGAAACTTGGATTCATGGATTTGCCGTTTTGTACTACCTCTGCAAAATTTCAAATCAAACGTTAAACTCGACAATCAAGACTCCACTCATTGCGAATCGGAGCAGCGTTTCTGTAACTGTAACTCGAATCGGATGGTTGCCAATATATATGCGATTCGAGAGACACGGTACGGTACACTCTATATATGGGTCGTACAATATTGGAACATTCAACTCGGTTTCGAGAACAAATCAAAAGTAATGCGCCACAAGTGAGAAATCAAATCATCCAACATCTAAGAACTACAACAAAAATGTAATTCTCTTCAAGTGGTTAAATGGTTATTTTTTAAAATAGTTTGTTTAGTTTGTTTGTTGGTAAATTTAAGAAGTTCGGACTTGATGCAAATTTTGTATGTGTTAATGATTTTTTATGTAAAAGGGAGAAATAATTTCGACTTAAAATCGTTTTTACGCTGGATCGTAATTATATAAAACAGTTTTTTATGTGGCTTAAGAATTTGTTTATGCCTGAGCTTAAAGCTCGTAATTAAACATTGTTTTATTATAATTTAAAATAAAAATTGTATATTTCTTGTTAAATTTACGTTAAAGTACTAAACGTGATTTAAAAATCATTTTGATTTTTAAAATATTACAAATTTTTTTACATTTTCACATTAGATTCACTATTGACTTAATCTGAAATTAATTAATTCCAAAAGGAAATGAAATGACTAATCTATACCAATTACAACAAAAATGTTAATAGACTGGCAAAGACATTTATAGAACTGCAATATTTCAATTAATATCACATCAAAGCTGACTAGAATTGTTTATTGTTTGATTAATGACTGGCTTATTGACAATTAGTTCAACTGAAATTTATTGCAGAACGCTACATGCATACCAAAATATAACTGATCAAAGCAAATTCCCTTAAAATAAAATGGCCAAAACCTTAGGTTTTATGTAAGGCCAAATCAAATGTTTTCCAATTCAATGTGTTTAATTTTCATCTCATTTTTTTGGAATTGTGATTTGTCTTGTCCGGAATTTCTTTTTGGAATTGTGTAAATAGCAAAAAATCCTTACTTTCTGTTATTATTTGTTCAACAATAAAGTTGGAAAGAACAACATGCTTGAGCCGTATAGTGCGTTTCGTTTTTTTAAGGCAAAGCTTATATTCTTTTTTTGTTTGTTACATACTTAGAAATATTGACCAGGTGTTGTAATACTGTTTACGATTTATTTAATAAAAAGATTCAAATTAGAAGAAAGCAAATTTATAAAACATTACAAATTTAGATTCGCGGAACATTTAAAAAATGTATAACAATTTCATTTCAAAAACATTAGTAAGTCTCGATAAAATGAAAAAATCATTTAAAGGAATATATATTACAGTCAAGTAAAAGAAGTAAGACTTATTTTCAGAAACCGCCTTATCGTCACGAAACGCACTTAAATATCCTCATAAGCTGTGTGTGTGTGTGTCTGTGCATGTGGGCTGTGTGCAAACAGAAATTCGCAATGGAATGGAAATGGGAAACATAAACGGAAATCAGAGAGATCTGCCACTTGGCCCACCAACTTACCCAGGTTCTCCACGGACGCGTTGATGTCCCGGATGGTGCGTGTGTACCTTGTGGAGGCCCTCGAC